ATTTGCCGCAGTATGCAAAAATACTACACCTCCCTTGAGCCAGCTACAGAGGGAGGAAACGGCAGTTGCCATTGTTGTGCCACTTGATGGACTGACACGATATGAGTGCTATGTTGATGAACCAAGACGTTTTTCCTTATTTGACTCACTCCACATAGGAGAGCAGATGGCCAGAATCGAGGAAATTACAAGTGACATGCTCATCATTAAACTTGATGACCAATCAGCCCAACTTCCAGAGGAGATACAAATTGCTCAAACCATCACCACCTTCCAAACCAAAGAGGTTTTCCAAGCTTTGACACAGTACTGGACCCAATTTTGGCAGCGAGGGCCGGTAGAAAATGATTCCCCAATTAATCCGGATGGCCCATGTTTAAACCTTTTCAGGAATTTACCACAACTCTTTGCGGAAGAAGAGCAAGAGATGCAGGCATGGAAACTAGCGATTTCTTCCACAAAAACATTTTCGGCACCTGGCTGTGACGGAATTTCTATCCAAGAGTTGAGAATGCTGCCTGATAAACTACTTAAATTCCTGATTAAGATAGTCTCTGAACTGGATGCGTTTCCAGATTGGATAATGTGGGCCAGAACCATCCCTCTCCCAAAAACTGACCAGTTTGTCCCTTGGGCCACCAGGCCAATCACAATTTTGCCAACCATCTATAGGCTCTGGGGTAAAGTCTGTACCAAAGCCATCCTACAGCGCCTTGCCACAGCGGCACCCAGCGCCATCACAGGCATGATTCCAAAACGAGGGGCAATGGACGCAAGTTATAACTTACAGGCCATGTTAGAGAGGTTGAGGCACCAAAAAACTGAGGTTTCCGGCCTCACACTTGACCTGAAAAAATGTTTTAACCTGGTAGACAGAGCCAAAGCAAAGACCACCCTAAAAAAGTATGATATCCCCGATCAATGGATTGATAAATGGTTCCACTCTTTGACAAACATGAAGCGTTTTTGGCAAATAGGTGACACAGCTTCAGATCTCATTCAGGCAGATACTGGGATCCCGGAAGGTGACCCATGGAGCGTTGTGATCATGATCTTAATTGCAATTGAATGGTTTGAGGGTTTGGGATTTCAACGTCAAGAAGACGGAGCAACTGCATACGCTGACAACTGGACATGTTGGCGTCGCGCAGATCAAAGCACCGACCAGATGATCCAGCATACTCTCAATACCACAAAAGCATTTGGCTTACAGATAGATTGGGAAAAAACTTGGGTTTGGTCCACAAAACCTGATGGACATAACAATCTTGAAGCGGCCATTGCGGAACATATACCTGATGCCAAACCAACCGTTAAAAGTTGTGCCAAAGACCTTGGATGCCATGTAACATATCATGGTAACCCACGCCTGGGTAGTATCCATGAGAGAATCCAAAAAGCAAAAGATAGACTCGACCGTATCCGACAAAAACCATGGGATCATCTCTTGAAAATTCACATCATCTTAACTAGCGTATTGCCAGTGGTGTTTTATGGGGCTGAGCTAATCTATCTTGGTGAACACCATTTGGATTCCCTTCGCACCCATTTGGCAAATGCAATTGTAGGTGAAAAAATTCGAAGTATGAACCCAGCGTTATTTCTCCACTGTGCCACCACTAGACCACTTGACCCTCTATTAGTCCTTATCCTACAGGCCATTAAAGCTGCCATGAAGTTCCTGCGCCATGCCAGAGCAGAGGAAAGATCATGGTTTATGCAAATCCTGTCAAAGCCGCTCAAAAATACCCATGCGGTATGGGGACCAGCATCCGCATTACGAGAGTATTTGCTCAAGCTGGGATGGACATGTTGTAAAAGTGGATATATCCAAGTGACCAACAATCGAAAGTTGAATTTGCAAACAACTTCTTTTGCAGTCATACGTAAATATGCAGAGATTGCTTGGAAGGAGCACCTTCTTCTGTTCCTTACTGACCGTCATAGGCTTTTCAACCGTAGGCCTATTGATAACTTTGGAACTGAAATTGCCCTTAAAAAATTCCCTATAAAACACCAACTCCTGATACTACGTGAAATTGCATCCGCATTTCAAACAAAAGCACAGCAGAGCACATGGGACCAACAGACGTCCTCCACATGTGACTGGTGTGGCACTCACCAGGACAGTAGGTATCATCGCCTTGTTGAATGTGAAGCATTTGTGGAGGCACGCGAGCCCCACACAAAAGCCATCCAATACTTGCAAGAAGAAGGTCTTGAGCTATGTGATTTACCGGTTATCCACCAGCACCCGCACGCAGAATACAGACAGATCATCTTAGATGCCTTGCCTGAGCCAACCATAGATGAAAATACGGTAACCTCACTGCAGTGTGGTAGGGACATGGATTCCTTGCATTTTTACACGGATGGTAGCTGTCGGCATCCAACTTGTAAACACTTGTGTTTTGCCTCATACAGTATTGTAGTCGATGTGCTCAGGCATGATGTTGACCGAAGAGTTCTTGCTGCAGCTTTTCCATATACGCAATCCCTTGCATCCTTCCAACCGATTGCATGTGGTAGACTAAATGGATTCCAGAGTATCCACAGGGCTGAACTTGTTGCTGTAGTTATCCTTTGTGAATACTTTACTGAGTTCACAGCCTTTACTGACAGTGCAGACGTTATTCATAAGGTTGCTCTATGTAGACGTACAACAGAGGTGAAAGAACTGGCAGGATTTGCAGATTTTGATCTCTTGATTAGACTGCATGCAACACTGACCCCAGAAAAACAAATCCTGAAAACAAAAGCACATAGAGAAATTGCTGAAATTCAGGACCTCAATGAACGTTATCAAGCAATGGGAAATGCAGCAGTGGATTTCCATGCAAAGCAGACTTGCGAAAAGTTTTTGCCGGAAATTTTTCATGAACTTGAGATGCAATATGTGGACACAAAGAGTGACATTGACAAATTACAGGACGTTTTTGCGTTGATACTTGACTTGCAAGTTGCGAGAGCCCGAGCGGAGGAAGATCAGAGAGTTGGACAACATATAGGTGATGAAATTGGTGGGGTGTTCCCAAAACAACCTGAATCTACGTCGATCAACTGGAGCATTGCAAACAAATGGACCTTGGAAGACCAATGGAACACGCACTGGATACAATTTAGCGCGTGGGGTCCACAGGTCATGCAGGCGGTAGCTAGCTGGCTCACCTCTTGTGAATGGCCTGTTGAGGAGGAAACATCAGAGGAAGACATCGGGATATCGTGGGCAGAAGTGGCGATAGCGTTGGCCCTACACCACGGGCAATGGCTACCAGTTCGCCGAGAAAGAAGGGGCTTACAGTATGTTGTCCAGGCGACCACAGACATGGAACTGGAAATGATTGACACTAACCTTGCTGAACAAGCAAAGATGGCATACTCAGTTGTTCAACATTTCTGGACTTTGATCCCGCAACATGTGATGCCTGAACATGTTTCCATAGGGAAGGTGAAGGCGTTGTATGTACAAGGCTTTGGAAACTGGAGCACTGGAATACGCAGAAGGCCTTATTATCCCAAACAATCGGAAGTGTTTTTTCTTTTGGCGACTTTTCTGCAACGGAGTGAACGTACGTTGCAAGGGTTACCTCAAGTCGGATGGGAAACATTTCATCAATGGGATTCTGAGCTTGCAATCAAAGAGAAGGACTGGAAAGAACGGGAGAAAATTGCAAAGAAAGCGCAACTGGAGGTACGACGGCAGCGGCAGTAGAAATGTTTCACTAAGGACAATGACTTTCTAATAAGGGAAGACATGCCAGAGACAGTCCGCGGGTCACCCCTTGGGCCTTGGCTGGGGGGGGGCCCTTCATCGAAGGTAACCGGCCCAAGATTTCAGGTTAGTGAAATATTGTAATATACCCAGATAAAGAAATTAATTCGTCCCATGATTGCCAGGTGCAAAAAACTCCAGTTGGCGTATCCAGAATGGTAAACATAGCTATGGTGAAAAAAATACCGTTCTGAATATAGGTCAATTCCAAAAAAATCTACAGATGGCCATTCTCAGATAGCTGTCATTTTTTTCCCAGAGGCTAAATCATCATGGAAATATGGATAACTATGGCACCTAGTTTATGGTTATATGGATAGGATTAGGCTGGTACATGGGATCACATAGGAAATATGGATTCCTGGAGGAATCATGTATAACTGGTTGGTGGTTTGGAACATGAATTTTATGACTTTCCATATATTGGGAATGTCATCATCTCAACTGACTCATATTTTTCAGTGGGGTTGAGGCCATTTCAGGAACCTAAATTGGAGGTACCTACCATTTTTTTGGCCTATGTAAGGGAATATCCCCACAAATATGGCCTGAAAAATGGCACTAAGGTACCTCCATCTTAGGATCCTGAAATTCCCATTGAACTATGGATAACTAGGAATGGATACTATGAATTATCCTTTAGATTATAGTAAACTATCCTATTATAGTGATCCTATTATAGATGACTATGGATAAATATCACTGCTCATTGTAATCCCTTGGTATCCCATGAAATATTCCATATATTCCATTGTTATCCATAGTTACTAGGTATAGTTATCCATAGTCATCCTATTATAGTTATCCTAATACCCATAGTCATTCATTATTATAGTAAACTATCCTATGGATTACCCTATGGATTATATTAAATTATCCTATTATAGCTATGGTAAATCACCATTTTCAATGGGAAAATCCACTATAAATCACCATTTTCAATAGCTATTTTGACATAACCAGAGGGTATAGATGACTATGGATCATATATAACTATACTATACCATATATAACTATCATAAATTATCCTGTGGATCATATATAACTATGGTATCCATGATTAGTAAACATCTATGGATTATAGATGACTATGGTATAATCCACTATAGATAATCCACTATGACTATGGATTTATAGATGGTCATCCATTGATTATCATATATAACTATGGTATCCATGGATTATTATTTATCCTATGGATCATATATAACTATACCCAGCCCCCCAGGAGATGGTCATCGTCCTGGGAATCTTCCTGGGCTTCGCTGCCGGCGCCATCTTTGCGCCCATGGAGCAGGTGGGGAATGTCGGAACGTCGGCGCGGCCAGGGAAGAAAAACAACGTTTGGGGCTTGGAGTTTTTACAGGAAATATGGTGATTTAATGGGATTTATAGTGATTTAATGGAATTTTATAGTGATTTAATGGGATATGAATGGGATATTACACTCTGGTAAACATACAAAAAGCTATTGAACATGGTCATAGAAATAGCGGATTTTCCCAGCTTTAACATGGTGGATCTTTCCATAGTTATGTAAACGTTTACCAGAGAGTATATGATAGGATAGTTCTATATCCCACATATCCCACTGAAATTAGATAGTTTAGTTATATGATATGTTATATGATCTTATATCTTAATATATCTTATACTTTAGCTCTGCAGTAAATTTTCCACATCCCACTTTAGTTGTACCAGACTTGAGTCAGAAGATGCAGAACAGTGGATAATGGGATGTCAATGGGATCTATCACTAAAACTCCATCATTTGTTTTATAGATTATCAACTGGTTGGTGGTTTGGAACATGAATTTTATGACTTTCCATATATTGGGAATGTCATCATCCCAACTGACTCATAGTTTTCAGATGGGTTGGGTTGAAACCACCAACCAGTTAGGAAATTTATAATTTTGATGGATCCAAATACGACCTGAGAAGGTGCTTGAAGGATTACAATCCAGCTGGTACACCTGGTGACGATAGGGTTAGAATCCCCCAACACCAGCTATTCCCAAACATATGAGAACGTCTATTTCCAGCTAAGTATGAGGCTTTCTACCAACTGCCCAACCATTTTGTGTGATAGAAATCTTCATGTAAAATTGTCTGCAACTGAACTAATCAACATTGTTTTGGAAATCGTCATCTAAAGTCTAAAGTTGTCAAACTTGACAGAACCTAGATAGTAACCCCCAAAAAGAATCTTAACAGTTAACATTATTTTGGCATTTTTTTCGCCAAATTCTATCAATTTCTGTGGGGTGCTATCTTTCAACCCTCGTTTTTTTTAGATTTTAGAGGAAACCCCTTTCCGTTCAGACGACGCCAGGCCGGCTGGCGCTGGATGGTGATCATCGCTGCGGTCTTCGCATGCCTGGTGGAGGTCATCACGTTATCCCCGCAACGTGACGTGGTCACGTAACGGTTGTTTCTCCATGGACGGTCCAGTTGGACTTGGAAATGGATCAATATCTGGTTGGTGGTTTGGAAGATGACTTTTATTATACTTTTATTTTCCATTTCATATATGGGATGTCATCCCAACCCCATTGACGAAGTCATATTTTTCAAGATTGTTTTTTAACCACCAACCAGAATATAATCAACTACGGATCATTTATCATGGAAAATTCTAAAATAACATGGATTATTTAGGGCTAACCCCATAGGAAGCCGCCAAAAACAGGTGTTTTTATTCTGTACTTCTACCATCTTGAAAACTATTTTTAGGAACAAATGTTTGAATCCTGAATATGTGTTAATAGTGTCTGAATATGTCTTATATGTCTTGATGTGTCGTATAATCATCGATTTTGTTGCGGGGTAGAGATATTTGGCCCATGTGCACTATGTCAATGGGGATTTGAAATATGCATTCATCGGGAGCTTACCATGGATCAATGGCGATATGACCAGTTGTGATTTTACCATCAAGAAATGCGTATCTAGTCCGTCAATAAATGATACACGCTGATTTTGCTACCAACAATGGTGATGTCACCAACAATACGTACTATAAATTGGAATACCATCAGTAGTCAGGATAAACAATAGAATATGGGCATATAGCTATTGTCAAATGAGATGGCACGCAGTTTTGATGGGATAAAATGGAGATGTTTTGGATAGATACGTGCTATTGAATAGATAGGAATGGGTCCCCGGATGCGTCAATGGGATGATCTCGAGATCAAATCCCCCATGAATTCAACAGCCCAACTGCGATCCATGGGGGATAAAGCGTCGCCATTGGCGCCGGCGTCTTTCGGCGGGCCAGGTGGGCATCACCTTCATCCCCAACTCTCCACGGTGGTTGGTCCTGAGATCTTTGCGCACCAGCTCTCCATTGGTCCTGAGATCTCCCGTCGAAGGGCTAAACAAAGCGACCTCGCTGTTCTCCCGAACCCTGGAATCATAGGTTTCTTATACCCATAGGATCCATGTATGCTATATATGGTAACATTTACCATCAATATACCCCAGTCATGTTAGCATTAATATACCAGCACCATGGATCCGTCATGGGATAGGGAAATCATCCCCATGGTGGGCCCAAGATTTCAGGGTGAAATATGATCATTTACACAGAGACAGAAATTCGAGAAGTCGACTCGACATAGATACTGCGATATCATAATATGATCATAGTTTTACAATAGAGAACTTCACAATTAACTATAGTAACTATAGATATTGTATCTGATTGACATCTGTATCTAAACTTGATGTTGCCACCATCCCCCCAAACTTACTTAAGATAGGTAACCAGGCTGGATGTCGAGCTCGGCTCAAAGTTGCGTTTAAGTTGGTTTCGTTCATTCAAATCCCATAAATTCATGAAATAGATATTAGTGTAATCAAAGGAAGTTTAGGGGGAGAAACTTCCGTGTTACGGACTTTTAGAATGTCAGGGAAAGAGTTAGTCAAAGAAACAGTTAGTCAAAGAAACAGTTAGTCAAAGAAAGAGTTAGTCAAAGAAAGAGTTAGTCAAAGAAACAGTTAGTCAAAGAAAGAGTTAGTCAAAGAAAGAGTTCGTCAAAGAAACAGTTAGTCAAAGAAAGAGTTAGTCAAAGAAAGAGTTAGTCAAAGAAAGAGTTAGTCAAAGAAAGAGTTAGTCAAAGAAAGAGTTAGTCAAAGAAAGAGTTAGCAAAGAAAGAGTTCGTCAGGGAAAGAGTTAGTCAAAGAAAGAGTTAGTGAGGGAAAGAGTTAGTCAAAGAAAGAGTTAGTCAAAGAAAAAGTTAGTCAAAGAAAGAGTTAGTGAGGGAAAGAGTTAGTCAAAGAAAGAGTTAGTCACAGAAAGAGTTAGCAAAGAAAGAGTTAGTCAGGGAAAGAGTTAGTCAAAGAAAGAGTTAGTCAAAGAAAGAGTTAGTCAAAGAAAGAGTTAGTCAAAGAAACAGTTAGTCAAAGAAACAGTTAGTCAAAGAAAGAGTTAGTCAAAGAAACAGTTAGTCAAAGAAAGAGTTAGTAAAAGAAAGAGTCAGTCAAAGCAACAGTTAGTCAAAGAAACAGTTAGTTAAAGAAAGAGTTAGTCAAAGAAAGAGTTAGTCAAAGAAAGAGTTAGTCAAAGAAAGAGTTAGTCAAAGAAACAGTAAGTCAAAGAAAGAGTTAGTCAAAGAAACAGTTAGTCAAAGAAAGAGTTAGTCAAAGAAACAGTTAGTCAAAGAAAGAGTTCGTCAAAGAAAGAGTTAGTCAAAGAAACAGTTCGTCAAAGAAAGAGTTAGTCAAAGAAAGAGTTCGTCAAAGAAAGAGTTAGTCAAAGAAAGAGTTAGTCAAAGAAAGAGTTAGTCAAAGAAAGAGTTAGTCAAAGAAAGAGTTAGTCAAAGAAACAGTTAGTCAAAGAAACAGTTAGTCAAAGAAACAGTTAGTTAAAGAAAGAGGTAGTCAAAGAAAGAGTTAGTGAGGGAAAGAGTTGGTGAGGGAAAGAGTTAGTCAAAGAAAGAGTTAGTGAGGGAAAGAGTTAGTCAGGGCATTGTGATTTGCAACTGTAGGATCGTTCCCGCAATGTAAATGGGATTGCAAGTGGTGCTGGTGGAGGAGTTGCCGATGGAGTTTTGCAGAAAGTCTCGCACGAAATGCGTTTTTGAGAGATAGCAGATGCAAGAAACCCTATGTTTTTCCAAACAAAGTGCGTCCCCGAACCTCGATGATCTACCTCTGCGGTGCGACGGGTGCGAGACGGTCTCGTGTGTGGTCGGATCATGCTCGGATCATGGTCGGATCATGGTCGGATCGGTCTCGGATCGGTTCCGCATTGTAAATGGGGTTTCAACTGTTTTTCGTGCATGTGTGGTCGACAAAATTCCATTGTGATTTGCAACTGTAGGATCGTTCCCGCAATGTAAATGGGATTGCAAGTGGTGCTGGTGGATGCGTTGCCGATGGAATTCCATTGTGATTTGCAACTCTAGGATCGTTCCCTCACTGTAAATGGGATTGCAAGTGGTGCTGGTGGAGGAGTTGCTGATGGAGTTTTGAAGGAAGTCTCGCACGAAATGCGTTTTTGAGAGATAGCAGATGCACGAAAGCCTATGTTTTTCCATACAAAGTGCGTCCCCGAACGTCGATGATCTACCTCTGCGGTGCGACGGTTGCGAGACGGTCTCGTGTGTGGTCGGATCATTCTCGGATCATGTTCGGATCATGTTCGGATCGGTTCCGCATTGTAAATGGGGTGTCACCTTTGTTTCGTGCATTTGCGGTCGACAGAATTCCATTGTGATTTGCAACTGTAGGATCGTTCCCGCAATGTAAATGGGATTGCAAGTGGTGCTGGTGGATGAGGTGCCGATGGAATTCCATTGTGATTTGCAACTCTAGGATCGTTCCCTCACTGTAAATGGGATTGCAAGTGGTGCTGGTGGAGGAGTTGCCGATGGAGTTTTGGAGAAAGTCTCGCACGAAATGCGTTTTTGAGAGATAGCAGATGCACGAAAGCCTATGTTTTTCCATACAAAGTCCGTCCCCGAACCTCGATGATCTACCTCTGCGGTGCGACGGGTGCGAGACGGTCTCGTGTGTGGTCGGATCATGCTCGGATATGTTCGGATCATCCTCGGATCATTCTCGGATCGGTTCCGCATTGTAAATGGGGTGTCAACTGTTTTTCGTGCATGTGTGGTCGACAGAATTCCATTGTGACTTGCAACTGTAGGATCGTTCCCGCATTGTAAATGGGGTTGCAAGTGTTGCTGGTGGACGAGTTGCTGATGGAATTGCATTGTGATTTGCAACTTTAGGATCGTTCCCTCACTGTAAATGGGATTGCAAGTGGTGCTGGTGGAGGAGTTGCCGATGGAATTCCATTGTGCTTTGCAACTGTAGGATCGTTCCCGCAATGTAAATGGGATTGCAAGTGGTGCTGGTGGATGAGTTGCCGATGGAATTTCATTGTGCTTTGCAACTCTAGGATCGTTCCCGCAATGTAAATGGGATTGCAAGTGGTGCTGGTGGATGAGTTGCCGATGGAATTCCATTGTGCTTTGCAACTGTAGGATCGTTCCCGCAGTGTAAATGGCTGCGTCAAGGTTGCTTCTTGCCACGGCTGCATGCGTAATACTATTGTCTTTTGCAGCTGGACTTCGTAAATCGTATTGGAGTGGCTGCATGAAGGATGCGACAGTGATTTGTCAGCAGATTTTCTCCATTTTGGCGCTAGTAATTTTCCTTTTAAAAATCCTTTTAAAAAGTGCTTCAAAATCGTCTTTTTTTCGCTTTGGCGTCGAGATCCGGTTTTGGAGCTGCAATTTCTGACCCAGTTGCGCGTAGTTCTATTGTGTTTTGCAACTCAGTCTTTGCAGATCGCATTGTAATGGCTGCGTCAAGGTTGCTTGGTGCCGCGGCTGCATGCGTAATACTATTGTTTTTTGCAGCTGGACTTCGTAAATCGTATTGGAGTGGCTGCATGAAGGCTGCGACAGTAATTTGTCAGCAGATTTTCTCCATTTTGGCGCTAATGATTTTCCTTCTAAAAATCCTTTTAAAAAGTGCTTCAAAATCGTCTTTTTTTCGCTTTGGCGTCGAGATCCATCCGGTTTTGGACCTGCAATTTCCGACCCAGTTGCGCGTAGTTCTATTGTGTTTTGCAACTCAGTCTCCGCAGATCGCATTGTAATAGCTGCGTCAAGGTTGCTTCATGCTGAGGCTGCATGCGTAATACCATTGTCTTTTGCAGCTGGACTTCGTAAATCGTATTGGAGTGGCTGCATGAAGGCTGCGACAGTGATTTGTCAGCAGATTTCCTCCATTTTGGCGCTAGTAATTTTCCTTTTAAAAATCCTTTTAAAAAGTGCTTCAAAATCGTCTTTTTTTTCGCTCTGGCGTCGAGATCCGGTTTTGGAGCTACAATTTTCCGACGCCGTTGCACGTAGGTTTAGAGCAGTGAAGTGTGGGGCGTGAAGAGTGCAGTGTGAAGTGTGCAGTGTGAAGGAAGCAGTGGGAAGTGAGAAGTGTGCAGTGTGGAGTGTGAAGTTTAAGTTTGGAGTGTGAAGGAAGCAGTGAGAAGTGACAAGTGTGAAGTGTGGAGTGTGAAGTAATTCCATCGTTCGTGCGGTTGTATGTTGATAACCTCCATAAAATGACCACCGTGACTTTGATTAGTGTGACCATACCTGATGTGACTGTGACTGTGACTATTCTGATCATGACTACTGTGACCATAGATACTATGACAAAGACTACTTTGACAATGACCGTTGTGGCTGTAACTGTAGTGACAATGAGTATTGTAACTGTTTGGACTGGCCCCTTTTTAGGTAATGACAGTGGGAAGTAGAAGTGACGGCATTAGTGTCCCAAGAATAAATGACTAGAAAGTGAAGTGTGGACTGTGAAGTGTGGAGTGTGAAGTTTGGAGTGCAAAGAGTGCAGTGTGAAGTGTGGAGTGTGAAGTGTGAAGTTTGGAGTGTGAAGGAAGCAGTGAGCAGTAAGAAGTGTGAAGTGTGGACTGTGAAGTGTGAAGTGTGAAACGTGGAATGTGAAGTGCGAAGTGAGTGTGAAGTGTGAAGTTTGGAGTGTGAAGGAAGCATTGAGCAGTGAGAAGTGTGAAGTGTGGACTGTGAAGTGTGAAGTGTGAAATGTGGAGTGTGAAGTGCGAAGTGAGAAGTGTGAAGTGTGAAGTGTGGAGTGTGAAGTGCAAAGTGAGAAGTGTGAAGTGTGAGGTTTGGAGTGTGAAGTGTGGAGTGTGAAGTGCGAAGTGAGAAGTGTGAAGTGTGAGGTTTGGAGTGTGAAGGAAGCAGTGAGAAGTGTGAAGTGTGGACTGTGAAGTGTGAAGTGTGAGTGAAGTGTGGGGTGTGAAGTGCGAAGTGCGAAGTGAGAAGTGTGAAGTTTGGAGTGTGAAGTTTGGAGTGGGAAGGAAGCAGTGAGAAGTGAGAAGTGTGAAGTGTGGACTGTGAAGTGTGGAGTGTGAAGTGCGAAGTGAGAAGTGTGAAGTTAGGAGTGTGAAGGAAGCAGTGAGAAGTGAGAAGTGAGAAGTGAGAAGTGTGAAGTGTGGAGTGTGAAGTGCAAAGTGAGAAGTGTGAAGTGTGAAGTTTGGAGTGTGAAGGAAGCAGTGAGAAGTGAGAAGTGTGAAGTGCGAAGTGAGAAGTGTGGACTGTGAAGTGTGAAGTGTGGACTGTGAAGTGTGACGTGTGAAGTGTGGACTGTGAAGTGTGAAGTGTGCAGTGTGAAGTGTGAAGTGTGAAGTGTGAGGTTTGGAGTGTGAAGGAAGCAGTGAGAAGTGAGAAGTGTGGAGTGTGAAGTGTGGAGTGTGAAGTTTGAAGTTTGGAGTGCGAAGAGTGCAGTGTGCAGTGTGAGATGTGGAGTGTCGAGGGAAGGACACGGTCGGGACAGGGTGTCTCTGAACTATAGGTGATTTATGTTTGGGAAACTTCCGCCGCCGGCTTGCCCGGGTCTATGTTATATGTTTAATATATATATATATATATATCATAAAGCCAAGAGTTTCTGCAAAAAAATCACCTCCCTTTTTGGAACGGAAATCCTCAATCAATGGTTGAGTTGCCATGATTTTCCATTCCTTTCGCGTGACCCGGCCATCAGGTCTTTGACCAGGGAACGCAAGACCGCAACCATCCGGCGCCTCGGACCATCATTTGAGCAGGTTTTTTTAAAAGGGTACCATCCGCGATCCATCCGCCGCGTGGGCGATCGTCCAGTCTGCGGAGTCTCGCGTAGGCTTTGCGTAGGCACCTTCGCGTAAGCTACGTTGCGCGTAGGCTGCTGTGCACTTCGCGTAGCCGCCGCGTAGGCGTTGCATGGGCAATTTTGAGGATAATGACTGTACTATTTAAAACGAAAAATACGCTCATTTGATGGGACGAAATACTACGAAATTGGATGGGTCCGGGATGGAGAGCACGGTGCAATTGCGAAAACAATATTCTAATTATGAAATCAGGATTCTAGTAGCGAAGATTTGATTTTACCTTATTTACGAAGACTACTAGAGCTGTACTTAAGTCACATCAGGATCAAGAGGGAAATATGTTTAATATATATATATATATCATAAACCCAAGAGTTTTTGGAGTTCTAAATCCAACTTAGTTTTTTTAATTAACCAAAAATCAACTATATAAATCATAAATCCACAAATCAACTATATCAACAACTGTAAACAAATCCCCGTTTTTTGTAGCTGAAAAAAGTCACCTGGCCAATTTTCGACGGCAGGTGGATGAGGCCCTGGCCAGCGAGGCCAAGGAAGCTTTGGCTGCTGTGGCTACAAACCCGGAGAGTCCAAGTGTAAAGCACTGATTTTTATGGCTAACTCGGAGAGTCTAGGTGCGTTTGTGTGTATATATATATAATACACATGCATATATATATATATATTATATATCTGTTCATACATATATACACGGAAAATCATCGAAATAAATGGGGAATGTTTCAGCAAGCCATGTTTTAGGAGCAGATGGAGGAGCAGCAAAAATGGTGCTTTAAGACATCTGAATGTGCTCAAAGGAACAATATTTAAGTGGTGTTTTTGTCATCAAGAATCACCAGAGAATCCCTTTTCGCCATGATATCCCCATGTCCGGCCAGGCTGAATCCATATGTCTTTTGTTGATTGTTTTTGATGGTGGAATATCACCATTTTAAGGCTGTTTTTTTTTTTTCCGCTTCTGTTCTTGATGGTTTCTTGCTGAAATCAACGTTGTTGGTTTAGTTTAATCTCAATCTTTACATATGTATTGGTTTAATCCCAACATTATCATGAGGTTTAAAGATGCAGGCTGCAAAGCCTACGTTTGCCCGCGCTCCAATTGCAGTGTTGGGAGGCACATTTTTCCCCGCATCCATGTCAGAATATCTATTGATCCAAGCCTGTCAACCAAGTTACTCATGTTATGATGAGTTATTCTCATATCATTAGGCTATCAACTCAATCAATGTGAAATTCAGAGGGGTGGAAGATCTAGCCACATCATCCCACATCATGATCAATCCAAAGTCGGGTTTGGCACCATATGTTCCCATGATATCAAATGATATCTATAAATGTTACTAAAAGTGATCCATGATATTACTAAAACCACATGATCTCATGATGCCTATTTTCCATTAATTAACGCATGTTAAAAAAAAAATCCATGGATATCAGGAAAAAAACCACAGTTTCCTCGGGATAAATCACTAGATTTTTTCATAGTGATCCCCAAGCATATAAGACTCCTATGTACTGTATCTTTGGCAGACGTATTCCCCATAAAAAAAAAAAACAACAACAAAATCACTATTATGATCTATTATGTATATGTCCCAAAATAGATCCATTGAGATCAGAAAACAGGGATCAATATTACCAAATCACTATTCGGGGATCAGTCTCTATTGAGATCACCATTCATCTCTATTTCACCCAAAAACCACCGTCATTTCCATCCCCAAGGCTTTCTTCCGCGGAGCCACTGCGGCGGAGATCGAGGAGGAGTTCAACGTCATGCTGAGCGATGCCCGGGACTCCTCCGCCGGGGCCAGTGCCGCGCCCAGATGCTTGGAGCCTTGGGCGAAATCCGGAAGATGATGACAGCATTCCATACCTCCATTTTTGCTGAATGTGATACCCCATATATGAGTCCGGACTCCGGATCCCTGGGCCCCCCCCCAATGGTATGGTCCCCCAAGCTCACGCTCTCGGGAACACGGGACACGGGACCATACATACATGCATGCATGCATGCATGCATGCATCCATCCATCCATGCATACATACATACAGACACACACACATACATACATACATACATACATACCTACATACCTACATACCTACATACCTACACATAACCTAACATACCTACATAACCTACATACCTACATACCTACATACCTACATACCACATACCTATCATACCTTACCTACATACCTACATACCTACATACCTACCATACGCTACATACCTACTACCTACCTAACCTACATACCTACATACCTACATACCTACATACCTACAATACCAACACAACAAATACCTACATACCTACATACCACAATACCAACATACCAACTACCAACATCCAACATACCAACTACCACACACATGCCAACAACACTCACACGGCCAACAGGGGGGGGGGGGACCAAAGAACCATACCACCATCCGGCCACAGTAAGGAGGGGGGACCATGGGGTGGGGGGGAGGGGGGGGGGCCTTGGGGTCCTGGATATATATAACATATATATATTATATGAATATATATATTATACAATATATTATATTTATCTAATATAATATATATATATTATATATATACAATATATATATAATATATATAATATATATAATATATATAATATATATAATATATATAATATATTATATATATATAGTGTATATATATATATCATAATATATATATATATATACAATATATATATATATATAGTACATTAAGATCATATGAAAAAAGGATGAAACATCGAACATTCTATATCCATAACATCATATAAAAAATGGGATTAAATCCCCCCATTTTCTTTGTTTGGACGTCGTCCTCGTCCCGTTAGGAAACCTTGCGTTATCCGAAGCCGTTGATCATCGGATGCGGCCTCGTCTTCTTCCAACAGGTGGAACAGATCGGAAATGGAGCAGAACTGTGCAGTTCAACTTATGATTATTGGGAAATCTATGGTGAAACTATGGTTTCTCTATGGCTAATCTATGCTGAATCTATGGTTAGTTTGTGGTTAATAATGGATAATCTATGGTGAATAATGGGTAATCTATGGTTATATAATGGTTAAACATGGTTAAACATTGTTAATCATGGTTAAGGATGGTTAATAATGGCTATAATGATTGTTATCATATTGGTTAATAATGGTTAATATAATGGTTAATATAATGGTTAGTATAATGGTTATCATATTGGTTAATAATGATTAATATAATGGTTAATAATGGCTATAACAAGGGTTATAATATTGGTTAATAATGGTTAATTATAGTTAATGGTTATCATAATGGTTGAAAATGGTATCAACCAGTTTATGATCATCTACCAACCTACTTGGAGGGTCTACAAATGGTGATGACATTTGATGATCATTGCGAGGTACCTGGACTGGAAACGATGGGATGGCACCTGAAAAGTGTGGTCCCGATGGTGGTTTTCTTGGTGGATAATTGTAATTTTGGCATCCATGTTAACTTTACGGTGTGTAAGAAGATCATTGGAGCTTGGAGTAACCGGAGTAACCCACACGTGTCTGGAATCTGACACTTTCTAATTGGGTTGGTTGATGATGTTGACACCCACTTGGGACCTGGTCTCCCGGTGAAAAGGGTCAAAAGTTGATGATTTTAAGATTCATATCACATTCATCAACTTGCAAACACATACAAAAACATGTTTTACCACTGTGCATAGAGATCACCCTCTGGGAAACTAACATAACTATGGAAAGATCCACCATTTTATAGCTGGTAAAATTCAATATTTCTATGGCCATTTTCCATGTCGCTATGTAGAAAATTACCAGAGGGTAACCATCGAACGAAATTCTGGGGGTTCAACATTTGTACAATGGAAGCCATGGAGGCGAAGTTTTGGATTTTGCACCTGATGTGGCCAGTTTTGCTTTCCACGGATTGATATAATTTTTCTAGAGATGTCTTTTTTTTTAATCATCTACAGTATAGAGTGGCTTTCAGATCACTAGTATGGCAGTGGTTCACCATTTATGTCTGAAATAAATGTCTATAGATTTTAAAAAAACTGGTAATTTGTTACAGTTCGCTATTTTATTCATCACCCTAATATTTATAGTTGATTTACCCTCTGGTAATTTAACATAGCTATAGAAAATCACCATTTTCAATGGGAAAATCCACTATAAATGGTCATTTTCAATAGCTATGTTAGTTTACCAGAGGGTACCCATTCGAAATGGTGGATGTTTCCATCTCCCATGAAGCGGTCCTCGCCAAGAGGGACATCCCAGTTGTGGGATCTCAGCGGCGTCGCCAGCGTTGCCAGGTCACAGGTCAGCCATCCGTTTTGATCTTCGCCACCGACATCTTTAAGGCGAGAAAAGCCCATGGCATGGAGCGTCGGACTAAGCCGGAAGCGGATGTGATTGATGGAAGGAATTGTTATGGAGAATCTATGGAGAATCTATGATTAATCTATGGTTCATACTGTAGACACCTATGTTTTAAGGCTTGGTTTCTGCTGATTCATCAAAGTTTGGGGGTTGTCAGCAGCTTTTGACCGATTTTTGGATACCTTCAAAATATACCCATCAGAAAACACACATGTTCTCCATGGAAATCAGTGTTTCTCAGTGTTTCTCCATGCTTTCAGTTTTTAAATCATTATTTTTCATAATTTTTCATCAGTTTTTCACCATTTTTCATCATTTTCACCATAAAAATCCAGTTTTTCACCATTTTTCACCACTTTTCATCCAGTCGTCCCGGTGGTTAAAACCCCATGTCCCTTCTCCAGAGCGCCGGCTTCGCCGGCGCGGCGGCGCTGAGCTCCGTGGGAGTGGGCCTGGTGACTTGTCGGCATTTAGGGTGTGATAGGATGGTGAGTTGGGGGTTAAAAAAACGTTGGATGTTAGTAGTTAAAACCCAGTAACAACATCCTATCATAGTTGAAATACACTACTAAACTATGGTTGTTAAACCCCAACACGTTTAATATTTTTTGTTAAACCCAACTCAACTATGGTTGTTAACTATGGTTGTTACATGTTATATCCCAACAACATATGCCAACTTAATAAGCCCCAAAATCCCAAAGTGAGATGGGGATTCAACTTTGCTAATGGATGTAGACCCTCCGTTTGTAGCCATAAAATTGCTATTTGACCCCTAGATGTTTGTTTTTTTTCTTTAATGACCACCTTTTAGCAATTTGAATAGGTACTTGCGGCAGCCTAGGTTGATGGATGTTAATGGATCGTTTTCGGATGCAAACAACCTTTTTTGGAGCGATATAAAAGCCCATGGGAGCCATCACTAATTGGCGCAGATACGTGCCAAACCGGGTGGCCATGTTGGCTGGGTATAGACTAGAATCGGGACTCAGAATGGCAACAAAACGCGGAATAACCATAAAAAAAGCCATGTGTATGCCATGTGTTATAATTAGTTATAATCATCACACTAACATGATGTAACCATTATATAGCCATTACACAACCATTTCTTAATAGCATAAAATTTATAAACTACTGAGCCATGTGGGTCAATTCTAACGGCCCCACTGTTCTCCCTCATTGAGATCTTGCGTACCGGGGGGGTATCGTCAAATGGCCCAGCTTTTCGGGTTAGTTAAATAAGATCAGTTGCCCATATATACAATGGTTATTAAGTTATATTTATATAACATATTTTGCCAATATACCATATACATATATTATATATTTAAAATTATAATATATATATATATATACCCTCTGGTTATTTAACATAGCCATGGTATAGATGGTCCATAGAAATAGATGGCTTACCTATTAATAGCATGGTGATTTTCCATGGCTATGTTAAATAACCAGATGGTATATATATATAATTTTAAATATATTATTATATATGTATACTGTATATGGTATATTGGCAAAATATGTTATATAAATATAACTTAATAACCATGGTATATATGGCAAAATATGGTCATTTTTCGGGTTTATCTGGTTAAATATGATCATAATGGAATATATATCCAGTTGATATCACCATTATAACCACTGAATAACCATTGATTTTATTCACCATGATATATCCATTATATAGCCATGAAATATCCATGATAGAACCATTATATAACCATAGATGAACCATGAAATTCTGAACGTCACCATAGATTAAGCAGTATCAATCACTATGAAATCCATAGATCAACCATAGATTTTCCATAGATGTTCCATAGATTTCATTATATAACCATTATATAACCATTATATAACCATTATATAATCATAGTGTCACCATAGATTTTCCATAGATTACCCATAGATTCTCAGATGTTAACCACGGATTATCCATCATATATAACCATAGATTCTCCATAATTTACCATAGTTTCACCATAGAATAGCCATTAATATAAGTTATAGATTATCTATAGATTCTCCACATTACAACTCCTTATATAACCATTAACCATAGATTAACCGCAAACTAACCATACATTAACCATAGATTACCCATCAGATCACAATTCCTTATATAGCCATGGAATTCATCATGAAACTCACCATTAGGATAGCCATTATTAACCAATACCAACCATTATCATGGCCATTATTCACCATGGTTATATAATTATTCCATTATATAACCATTATACAACCATTATATAACCATAGATGATCCATGAAATTCACCAGAGATATTACCATAGATTCTCCATTATTCCATAGAAATTCACCATAGAAATTCACCATAACTTACCCCACATCTGTTTTTCCCACGGACGCCGATGTTACGTGGCCCCCCAAAGGTCAAGTTGTTGGCCACGTCCTTCACCGCCTTCAAAGTGGATCAGTGACCAGGGAAAGTCATGGAGAAGTCATGGGAAACCTGTGAAAATCATGGGAAAACCACCAAAAAGATGGGAAACACATGGGAACACATGTTGGCAAATGTGTTTTTTTTTTCGAAAAACAGCAGATGTTCTGGCACTTGTTGAGTTGTTGATGTGTGTGTTTTTTGTTTGTCAAGATATGGTATTTGGAGAGTGAACGGAATGGTGAAGAGCTTCTTACAACTTTAAAATATTGGGCTATTTGAGATTGGTCATTTGTTGGGACCATTTGACCAAGAGGAACATTGATTCCCAAAGTAAAGCATGGAACATCCACCATGTCGATCATTAGATAGTTTACTTGGTGGCTCATCCCACTTGGTAAGTGGGTTATAATCCCAGTTATAAATGGGATAAGTAGGGTTAATCCACTTATAACTGGGGTTATAACCCACTTACTAAGTGGGATGAGCCACCAAGTAGTTATGGTTAAAGTATGATGGTTGTCTATGTTTTTGTTGGTTATACACCATACTAAAGTCATTCCATGTCTTTTCCCAACAAACGTGTCTTCTGGTTGGTGATTTCAAACATGACTTTTATTTTCCATTTCATATATGGGATAATCCCAACCCCATTGACGAAGTCATATTTTTCAAGATGGTTAAAATCACCAACCAGCAATCTATGTATTGTATTTTCATGACATATTCCATATATTACACCATATCCCATGACATATTCCCATGATAATCCCATGACAAATCCCATTCGAATCCCAAGAACACCATTAATATTCTTTCACCATTATAGTCAATGTATTTCACCATAATCCCCAATATTTCAACATTCATATTCCCATCATTTTCCCATCATGTAATCCTCTTCGGTGGATCCAGGTACGGCCGACGGCAATTGTTGTTGTGGGGAATTGCTGCTTGGCACCTGGGAGGAGCTGCTTGTTGTTTTTGGGGTAAAAAATGGGAATAGAAATCCTGGTGTACATCATGACTTGTATTATATGTATATGTATTAATACATAGATATTCATATATATATATAATATGATATTTATATTGATATTCCTAGAAGTGACTCCAAATCATGTACTGTTCCTTTTTTTGATGAATCTCTTGTTTTTTCACCAGGTTTTCCCGCGGTCCAAAATTTGAATGAAGGGATTATTTCCAGGAAACACCCACGTTTGATTGTAAAAACAACTCAAATTCATGATGGTCCAATCCATGTTTAAAAATCTAACCCTTCGCGTTATTATATGCGTTTGCTCAACTCCATTACCATTCATTGTTTTTCGGTCTGACCAACATATCCAGACATGTTTTTTCTGGCGGAGCCTCCGTGAAAACTGATGTTGTTCCAAAGATGTTTGACTTTGCTGCTGACCCAATGGAAAATGGCCCATAGAAATAGATGGTTTACCTATTAAAAATGGTGATTTTCCATGGCTATGTTAAATATCCAGATGGTATTCCTATCACTGACTAGACATAATGGACCCTGTCACAATGTATTTGTTGGGTGAATCCTCCCCGTCTGAGATTACGTTGCGACCTCACGTCGTGACGTATCTTTTTTATGATTGGATTGCGGGTATGAGAACTATCCGAAGACCACTGAACTATTCAGGTAATTGAACTAGAAATTAGTACATATTAGTACGGTATATCATAGTATATCCATACTTATCCAGTATTAGTTGGTTATAGTTGGATGAACCAAACAAAAAGGATGGATCACTGGACATAATCCCGTCCCCCCGAGCTCAACTCATGATTTTCGGGGTGTGTTTGATGTTAGGGTCAAATGGGATATAGTTGATATATATATAACTATATATTGATATTTATATTTAGATAACATAAAACTAGATGGGTTGATGGTTACAACATATTGCTTAATGGGTTTAACACCAGTTGATTTTTTTGATATATTTAGACAACTTGATTGTTGCTCCCCTGTTGGTTGATGATGGGATCATTCCTCTTTTTTTGCAGGGGATTACTGCGTTGGATTAGTCACAACTTCTCCAGTATTTGTTGGTTATAGTTATAGTTGATGAAAAACCACAGTTTTTATGGTTGAATTGGTATATCTATACTTATCCAGTATGAAACAAAGTTGGTTATAGTTGATTCCACCATTTTGATGGACCAATAACTGTTAATTAACCATATTACCCTCTGGTAAACTAACGTAACTATGGAAAGATCCACCATTTTATAGCTGGGAAATTCCACTATTTCACTGGCAATTTTCCATGTCGCTTTTTGTATGATTACCAGGCCGGGTAACTATTATTAACCATAGATTATCCATATATCAACCATAGATTAACCATAGATTCTCAGATGTTAACCACGGATTATCCATCATATATAACCATAGATTCTCCACAATTTACCATAGTTTCACCATAGATTAACCATAGATTATCCATAGATTATCCATATATTCACCATATATTCACCATATATTCACCATATATTCACCATATGATCCATTAAGATTCCAATGCTTATCCCATTAACCATAGATTACCAGAGAGTAAATCATACTAAACCGCCACCATTTCGATGGTTTTTTTCTGGGGGATTCCTTCGAGGCCGGCATGATCTTAGCCTTGGCCATGCTGGGCACCGCCTTCAGCTTCCGCCATGTGGAAAATGGAGAGGCCGGAAAACATAGGAAAACCATAGGAAAACCATAGGTAAACCACACAAAAATTGTGATTTCAGCTGTAACATGGGCATTTCCATGGGATTTGCGCTGAGAACGAAGTTGGTGATAACGAATTATGAAAGGAACCGTGGTGATTTCATGGGATATGATTCATGGATATTAATCTTTCTGGTGCTAAACGCAGGGAATGGATGGGTTGCTGGGGGTTGCTGGGATGATGACATTACTAGTGATGACTGGGATCATTCCGTCATTCCCGGCGTTTAGCACCAGTAAGTAATGGGATATAATCACACATATTCAAGGTGGGTGTCTCGAAATGTTCATTTTTATGGGGAATCCAATGGTGATCTAATTGGATTCTTGGGGAAGCCAAAGGAGATTTCTCCAGCATTTTTTTCAATAGAATTTTACTGACAGTTAGTGATCAAAGAGGGATTAGGTTGCTCATTTTCCCCCCATTTATTGGGTGATATAACTATAGAGCCATAGATGCATCCTTCATAGAAATTGGGGAGCTGAACATGAGACTCTGAGCCACAATTTTTTTGCATCACCCATTCATGAACTTACTGGTGCTAAACGCAGGAAATTTCGGGGAATGATCCCAGTCATCACTAGTAATGTCATCATCCCAGCAACCCCCAGCAACCCATCCATTCCCTACGTTTAGTACCAGTAAGTGAATGATCATCCCTCCAACTAACATCAATCCAGCCATGTTTGTGGCTTGAATACTTTCCTTTTGATTCTCAGGGTCCCAGGGTGTCTGGGCGGATGGTGACTGAAATTTTTCGGACTTCTGCAACTAAGGGATATACCCTCTGGTAAACATGCATAAAACTATGGAACGATCCACCATTGTTCATGGGAAACTCACTATTTCGACTGGGCCATTTTCAATAGCTTTTTGATGCTTTTTGTATGTTTACCAGGCCGGGTAGCTAAGAAATCTTCAGGCCCTGGCTGTTGAAATTTGGGCCCACAATGTCATCAGGCACATGGGGGACCGGTCCCTTTTCATGGCCCACGTGTGGAAAGTCACTCCACAAGACTTACCCTCTGGATCCCTCTGGTAAACTAACATGGCTATGGAAAATCACCATCCTTAATAGGTAAATCAACTATAAATGGGCTATTTTCTATAGCTATACGAGATATATGTTAAATTACCAGAGGGTATGCGATGCAAACCCCCAAAAAAAGCCGGAGCAAACGGAGACTCATTTTGGTCAGTTTATGGGTGCTCGGGTACCCCTCTTACTTTATCCTATCTTCCAATATGGACAAAGGATGACAAAGGTATCACTGTATCACCATTATTCTTGGTTTAATCCACAAAGAATCTTTGATCAAACCCATGTATCCAGGTCATCAGGTCATTGTTTTTCTCAGTGAACTCTGACCTTTGCCACAGCCTCGTCAGGTGTCAATTCCTAGGGGTTGTGCCATCGTCACGGCAACTTGTCACAGTGCAGGCTGCATTTCTTTGTTCATGTACCCTCTGGTAAACGTTTACATAACTATGGAAAATCACAATTTTTAATGGGTAAATCAACTATAAATGGGCCATTTTCAATAGCAAACTGTTAAATTACTAGAGGGTTTTGAATGCATCATTTTACGGCATGTTTGATTGTGTCACTGGGCAGATGATCTTTCTGATGGTTGCAACCCCTGTTTTTATTAGGCCATTGATGATCGGCCATGCGATTTTGGGCACCCTATTTTCAGACAACTCCACATCAGGCCCCGCTCCAAAAAAACAGTTCAATGATGGGCTTTTACCCTCTGGTAAACTAACATAGCTATGGAAAATCACCATTTTCAATGGGTAAATCCACTATAAATGGCCATTTTCAATAGCTATGTAACAAATTACCAGAGGGTATCCAGTGGATGGGGAAACGGAACAAATGTGGCGGTCCAGCTGGCAAAGTCGTGGGTTTTTTCGTCATCAGTGCGCACGTTTTTTTTCGATTTACATCTTGCATATCTCCATAGTCAAAATTGGGGTACCTAAACACAGGATGCTCATTACCAAGAATTTGAAATTTTCGTCCCTGGGCCTTTGATTTTGGCCCAGACCCATGTGTATTTGTCTGAACTTGAAGTATCGGGTATAGCATGGTTGGTATTATTCCAACGATGGTTTTTGATAGTAACCACATGGATCATTTACAACCACACCCACGTTAGCTCAATTGACCGTTGAAGAACAACAGAACACTCTATATGGCTATGGTCAATGAAGTTGATATGATTTATTATGGTAAATCCAGTCAATATGTGTTTGGTTATGCTTATGGTTGAGTTAGCCGCTTTTTTTGTTCGCTGATCATGTCGCGTATTAAGCATCTCCGACTGGTGCCCATCCCCATTGGGGGAGGTTGTTATCGCTAGCCCTTTTCATATCAACCATGTACAAGCAAACCACAACTAGGATTAAAGGACAAATCCTAAGTATATCTAATAAACTTGAATCATGCTAACATGATATCAACACACAAGTGTTATATATAATTATATAATTATAATTATATATATAATATTTAGCAACTATCCATCTATGAATATAGCCATAGTAGCTGTTTTATTAACGTACCATGCATAGATCTCATGATCCCGTACCAACCAAATCATGTCGCCGAGGTTTTGGCCTTGATGATCTACGTGAGCGCCTACCAGGTGCTGAGTTCTTGGGGAGAATTTGGAAGAAATCCTGCGACATTTGACAGGCAAAAACTATGGGGTTTTGATCGATTGAATTTCCTGAAATGATTGAAATCAGAATAGTGCGTCTATGTTTGATAAGATCATAGTGAGATCAATCAGAATGCAACCACGATAATCTTTATATAAGAAATATAAGTACTTATAATATGGGTGATGGCCAACCAAAAGGGCCCTTCAAGGCAAGTACTTTTGAGCTATATAATAAATGGATCCCGAAATCTATGTTAATTGCTCGTGTATTTGATGGTGTTTTCTTGGACTGATCTTGTTTGGGACCCTTGTACAGTAGTTAATAGTAGTTACATGTACATACTCTATGCACTTGCACTGTACATAGTCAAGAATAGTTACATGTACATACTCATTGCACGCCTGTATGATGTATTATCTACAATCAATCAATGAGTGTCTCTACATATGCATACATATTATTGTTTCTGCCTATCTTATTGACCCGAAGATGACAGATCACGTCTAAATAGTTGTTTTCTTCAATCTTGGATTTTGCACAACCCGTTGATTTGCGGATATGGGAATTGGTCAAGAATTCAAGCTCTTGGCACGTCTGAACCCGGTTATTTTCAGTTGGAACCTGCGCAACCTTTCCTTCGTCCCAGCATTGGTTGAACCTTGGTAAAACTTTGCTTATCTGGAGATGATTCCTCCGAAATCTGTCCATTCCCATAATCAAAATTTCCTATGAACATCCCCATGAATATCCGCATATTTTTCGTGGTCACCCCAATGTTTCTCGGTGAAACCCTGCCCTGGCAGGTGGGATTCGGACCTATCTCCTGGCTGATGCGACTTGGATTTGCTTTCTGTGGCTATGTCTAAACGTTCTGAATTCTATGGTCGGATGGAAAAAACGATGGGAAACAACCCACCGAAATGGGTGAATTCACCAATAAGAATGGGGATTGATATGGGATTGTGATGGATTTTACCAGAGAAAATATGGTAATTGAACCACATTTCACCAACAGAAATGGTGATTTAAAGTTGATTTCTGACAGCCAAGTTGATTTATAACTCGGGCAGCTGTGTCAAGTGTCCATAATGGGGGGGGTAGAATAAGCATCATATGGGGATATAGGGGAACAAAACAGGAATATGAAGCCATCACTTGGATTTGGGTGAAGTATCCATTTGTTGTTCCGATTGTTCAGTTAAGTCATTGGTTGGAAGACACAACAGGCAGATTTATAACTTTATAACATGTTTTAATGGCACCTTGTTCTTGAGAACATGCAAGGTAATGGGTGTATAATCACCATTTATCGGAATACCATCGGGATTTAACTGAGATAAAGCCAATCATATACTGTATGATATCTATATTCAGATTTGGGCTGAAAATGTGATATAAACATCATAATATGGTTGAAATTGGTTGAATCACCATTTCATCATTTTTTTCATTCATAAAATTCTTGAAACGCAGCCTTTTTTATGGTTGAATCGCCACTTCACCATATAACATTACCGTTGATGAACTTTACATCACCATCTCTTCCGGTGGTTCCATTGTCGGGGATCATTCGACCGTATCCCAGAATATCCCCATGATGTTCCTGGTTCATCACCTTTGTTGTTGGCGAATTATGCCTAGACCATGTTTAGATATATAATTTAATATAATGTTTATTCATGTTCGACAGATGATCAACATCATGATTCACATGTATCCCTGTACATCACCATGAAATTACCTAATATACCCCAAGTTAATCATTGTTGATGAATATCCAAGTTCCCTATGATATACAATTATATATATATGATTCCTCATTAGATTAACTTAATTTGTTTCATGGCCAAACCAAATCAATCTTCAGTAAATCAACCAATCTTCAGTGTTTCATCATTGACAAATCACTGTGACATCGTCATGAAATCACCACATATAGAATACAAATCCCAAAACACATATGGCCATTGTGGTTATATAACAAAACATATCACATATATCATGGTGATATTATGGTGTCATGGTGATATTATGATGTCACATATATTCATTTTGTATCATTTTGTTCTATATGACATCATCATATCACCGTGATACATACAGAATAAGTAAAAGTTCCCATCGTTTCTCATCTAAACTCGCCTAAACTGGCCTAAACTAAATTGCCCCTCCACACTACCATTCATCACCATTAATAATCACCATAAAACCATACATAACCAGGTAACCATTATTAACCATAAATCCGCAATCTTTTTAGGTTAATACCATACATAAAACATCATAAAACCATAAAACCATACATAATCCTCATAAACAAAAACCATACCTGGTTGGTGCTTTGGAATATTTTTTACTTTTCCACATATTCGGAGCAATAGTCCCATTTGACTAATATTTTTCAGAGGGGTAGGTCAACCACCAAGCAGATACATAACACCATTAAAATCGTTTTCGTTTGAGGATTTCCGAGATCTTCCCTCTGGGCGTGCGCGGCTCTGCGCTGTCGACGGCTGCCATGGTGGGCCGGGATGGGAGAGGATGGGAAGTTTTCGATTGGATGATGTGGGGAAACCATGGGAAACCGTTCGGGATTTCTATGGATTTCCAGGAAATTCTAGGAATTTCCTAGATAACCGTGGATTTTTTGGGATTTCTATGAAATCTTCCAGAATTTCTATGAATTTCTATGGATTCAGTGGAAGAAAAGAACAATTTTATGTTTTGATATACGTTTTGATGTTAGATCTATGAGCAATAGTCAGCCAGGGATAATGGGAAGTTTTGTTGGGCTTTGATGGAGGCAATCACAGGGAGTTCCTGGGGCGGTATGGATACACACAATTACACCACAGTAAGAACCGTGGATGTTCAATCCCGAGTTCACTTGGGATTCCATGCAATTCAGATAAAATTGCAAGCGAGTTGATGATATCATGTTCACTATTGACTGCTTGGTGCTTTGGAACATTTTTTATTTTTCCATATACTGGGAATAATCATCCCAATTGACTAATATTTTTCAGAGGGGTGGCTCAACCACCAACCAGTTGATATTTGGATTTGAGGACGAGACCTGGACAGACTATGAGAGCAACCCACCTCCAGTGCTTTTGGATCATTGATCCGAAAAAAACCGATTTGAACCTGCGTGGACAATTTGGATTCCAAACTATGTCTAGACAAGATGATTGTTTATCATATATACATATATGGTTACATTTTTCCTGGCCTTTGGGCAGTTGAATGACTCCACTTGCCGTAGCTTTATCATCTTTATCCAACGCAGCTCCGAAACCACTACATTTTCTGGACTTTCCATAAACTTCCAGCTAGTACTTTCCATATATTTCCATAATATTTCCATATATTTCCATAATATTTCCATAATATTTCCATATATTTCACAAATTTTCACAATATCCTTCTATATTTTACCAATTTTGCCCACACATATATATATATAATATAAATTTATATATATATATACATATAATATACATATATGTATGTATATATATATATATATTTCCGTACATATTTCCAACCACTTTCCTGCTTCGTGTCGGTTCCATCGGTTCCAGTGATTCAGGTGAACTTTGGGTCCAACATCCTCATGACGCTCTGTCAGACAGCTTTGCCCCTCGGCGGAGCTTCGACCATCGAGGGGCAACATATTCACCCTTCGATGTCATCAAACGTGGCAATGGAAAATCATCTAGAAATATCCTAGACATATCTCGAAATGAAGGGTTTTTTCATGGGAAAAGTATCAATAGGGGATGTCATTGATTCATTGATATCTATCACATCCCTAAACCTATTTCAACCATATATCATACATCTATCAATATCTTCAAATCGATCATCATCCCATGTTCAAATCCAACATTCGCTCGCTCTCCGGGCCTTTTTTAGGATGGACGCCCTGACCCCGGCGGGCGCCTTCTTCCTCTACATGGCCTTTGCCGTGATCTCCATCGTCTTCGTGGCCGCCGTGGTGACCCGCAACGTTGCCGCGGCGCCGTCGTTGGTGAAGCGTAAGGGACCAATAAGGCACCGTTGCGGTATACTAGGATACTGAGGCAGCAACTTAGTGCTGGTTAGACTTGTTTGATTTGTGAAATGATATGAAATGGAAGTTGGGAAGTTGGTAGCTTGGAAACCAGAGTTTAGTAACTAGTATAGCTGGTTATTTGCATGTTCATCCGCAACAGATGTTTTGCACGTAGTTTTTCATCCCTATTTCAGGGAAAGATGATGGGGAAGACGGCAATTTGATGCAATGGCCATATAGTTTCATAGGAGCAATAGCTGGGTTTGTCCAAACATTGGGGGAAAAATCACCCAAATGCATGGTCTGAATTGATGGATGATCAGCATGGGATTTTTGGGTGGACAGTTGCTGGATCCCAGCTTTTGACAAGCGGAAGTGCGCTATCTCTCGCACCATGCTTGGTTTCTCACCGCTGAAGGGCAACTTACAGCCAGATCCAGTTATTACGGTAAACTAAGAGTTTGCAAACTGGAAAATCACCATCTTTAATAGAAAATCAACGAACTAAATAGGGCACGGCTTTCATAGCAATGGCATTTTGTTTGAAGGGCAATAATTATCATGTAGTAATTTGATATCTGATCTGATACTGACATAGTCATGATATGTTATGATTATCGTCATTTGCTGTCATTGAGGTTACCAACAACTATAGATAGTCATTATATATATATATTTCTATAATCATTATCTTGTAGGTAGATAAAGATAGATGGATACATATAGAATGTTATAGATACTATCAACAACTATAATTGGTAATCGATAATTATTTATGTTAACAACTATCTACAGTTGTTAATTGGTAATATATATGGTAATCTATAACTAGTCATAATTAATACTTACTGTAGATTACTGACAACTACAGATCAATATAGTCTAGTGATTGCCAGTTGAGGTTACCAATAGATTAACATAGATACCAGTAGTACCGCACAAGGCGGTGGCGGAAGTTTCAAAAATAGGAAACCTATAGGAGAAGTTGGTTGTTGTGAATCAGGGATGGCAGAGCGAAGCCACTGATTGACCGAAAGGTGATTGGAGTTGTGTTTGCTGGAATGGTTGCAATGGTTGCAGTGGTCACCTCACCCACAACTGCTGGATGTAGTGTGATGTACTGCAACTGTAGTTGTAGTTGTAGCGTAGTGGAGTTGTAGTTGTGGTGTAATGTAATTAGTGTAGTGTAGTTGCAGTCATATGGTTGTAGCTGTAGTTGTTTTGTAGTTTTAGTTGTAGTTGTTGTAGTTGTAGTTGTTGTGTGGTTGTAGTTGTTGTGTAGTGTAGTTGTTGTAGTTGTAGTAGTAGTAGTAGTTGTTGTTGTTGTTGTAGTTGTTGTAGTTGTAGTTGTAGTTGTTGTTGCTGTTGTTGTAGTTGTAGTTGTAGTAGTAGTAGTAGTTGTTGTTGTTGTTGTAGCTGTAGCTGTAGTAGTTGTTGTGTAGTTGTAGTTGCTGTTGTAGTTGTTGTTGTAGTTGTAGTTGTTGTAGTTGTTGTAGTTGTTGTTGTTGTTGTTGTTGTTGCTGTTGTTGTTGTTGTTGTTGCTGTTGTTGTTGTTGTTGCTGTTGTTGTTGTAGCTGTTGTAGTTGTAGTTCTAGTTGTAGTTGTAGTTGTTGTGTAGTTGTTGTAGTTGTTGTTGTTGTTGGTGTTGGTGTTGTTGTTGTTGTTGCTGTTGCTGTTGCTGTTGCTGTTGTCGTCGAGGTTAGTGTAGTTAAGTTAGTGAAGTTAGTTAAGTTAGTCAAGTTAGTTAAGTTAATCAGTGTCTACTTTTTCGACATCTTCACGTCAAAAAAGGCTCAAAACCCTCAGTTTTTTTACACTTTTGACTTCGAAATGTGCTTCGCGCCACAACGGCGTGCACTTTTTTGACACTTTTTCGACATCTGAACCTCCAAAAGTGGTCCGAGACCGTCAGTTTTTAACACTTTTGACTTGGAAATGCGCTTCGCGCCACAACGGCGTGTACTTTTTCGACATCTCAACTTCCAAGAGTGGTCCGAACCCCTAGTGTTTTTAACATTTTGACTTGGAAATGCGCTTCGCGCCACAACGGCGTGCACTTTCTCAACATCTCAACTTCCAAAAGTGGTCCGAGAATGGTGTGTTTTGCACATTTTGACTTCAAAATGTGCTTCGCGCCACAACGGCGTGCACTTTTTCGACATCTCAACTTCCAAAAGTGGTCCGCTCCTCTAGTGCTTTGTCCATTTTGACTTGGAAATGTGCTTCGCGCCACAACGGCGTGCACTTTTTCATGTCTCATCTGGCCAGCTGGCTCCGCACCCGCCGCTTTAGCGAGCCTACTTTTCGACCCTCCGGAGCCACAAATCATTGGAAAAACACAGTGAATTGCGACTTTCCTATCTTTTCGCGCATCTACCTCTTCTCTCTTCTGATCTTGTCTCTTCTGACTCTTCTCACCTCTGCTTTTCAACTGTCCATATTGTCGGAAGTTTCACTTCTAAACTTCCTTCGATTATGACGCGCATCCATTTTTATCAACTGGGAATTCCCCTTTTTCAGCCACCGGGTGTTCCCGGCAGGTCGTAGAACTGGCGAGTGAGTCCTTGCTCGTGGAGACGGTGACGCCAAAGGATCGGTGAGTTCCCCTTTTGGTTCATCTCTTTCACAGTAACAATCAATGAACATCCATGATAGTGTAGGATAATCATTGAGAATTTTGCTAGGGAAAATCATGACATATATATATATATATATAGATGTATATAGATGTATATATACATATGATGGGTAAATTTCATCACGACCGAAGCCTGTTCTCCCGAGGGAAATGATGGGAATTGTTGGGGAATCATCCCCATAGGCCCAACATCAGGCGCCATGGTCGATGTTTGGAATCGCCAAAAAAAAGTGTGATGATGGGTTAAGTTATAGCGATCCCCAAGTCAAGATAGAAGTTGGCAAAATCCAAATCTAGAATAGTGATAATAGTGAACGTATTCTATCTGTTGGAGATTACAATATAATTATATAATTAACTATACATAAATGTGACTTCATCATTCCACCTTGTTTCTTCATCCAGGGGCTCAGCCAGGAGTGCCACCAACTGAAGGTTTCCTTCCTGCGCTGGAAGCTCAGTGCTATCATCACGATGGATTGATGGGAATTGGAGTAGAAGAATCATATAATATTGAATGAGTGTGTTTAACTATTGCTTATCCAGATGGCTGGTCAATAATATTTATCCATATTTATCCAGATATTCATTATTCAGATGATAAACATCCAGAGTTTATTACTATTTATCCAGATTCAATAAGTATCCAGATGAAGATTCAATGTTTGGTATTGGGAATAATGCAGACACTGAATCTTTATCCAGATGTCCTCATTCATGATATGTGTTGGAGGCATTTCAATTCAAGAGACCCAGCATCACCACACACTTTCACTCACTGCGGTGGAATGGTAAAAATATATATCCAGATGACTGGTCAACTCTGGCAATCAAACTATCTCATGGGAGTTTCATCTCAGTATAAAATGGTATAAACTCATAAAAAACGACTATCCCATGAATAGTTTCACACTCCTATTAGTCCCCCTTTATATATATGATATCTGCAAAGAAAAAAAGGCAACATCCAGCAGGATCTGGAGGATACGATCAGATGCTTCACAGTCGTCCCGGTGAGGTCCCGGATCAGTGCTTCGTGCTGGCGATGGTCCTGTGAGGCGATGATATCCAGTGACCTTGTCAAAGGGGTCATCCAGGGGTCAACTGGTGGTTGTTCTGTCCCTCATTTTCCATCCTGAAATGGTCAACCTCAGGTTGCTGTGAAACATTGTGAAACCATGGAACTGCAACACGACACTGGCGTCTGGAAAAATGATGGAAAACTCGTTTTAAGAGGTGTACATGATATCTTTACTGCGGGTTGCAAGTGCCAGAAAGCCAGGCAGAGATGTGTGCTGACTTCCAGTGCTTTGCTACTTCGACGAAACGAGCCGCCGTCAAGTTTGAGCTATTTATTGATGGGTCAATTTTTTTGTAGGGCCATGACCCCAGAACCTCTTTCTTGTTTGGTATGGTCAACCCCCCCAAATGGTGGAAGATGAGGTGTACCACCATGGTTCTTCCTGGCTGCGTGAAGATTCAACCATGGGTTGCTCTATCTTGCTGTTTTTGGTGATGGTTCATGATTTTCCAAGCGAGTATTAATAACATGACCATGGGTTTGTTTGAAAATGGAATATGAAATCGGATACCCAAAATTCTCATGGTGGATCGTGATTGTCCCATAAAGTGTTCATAGAATGTCCGCAAGTTGGCTATTTTGAAAATGGTTACTTTGGCAATATCTTTATTGGTCACCCAACCCACCAGAAGTGATGGCAGTTTTACTGGTTCGCCCACATTATGATAGTTACGCCAATTGGATATCAGTTCGAACCATAATTTTCATGTGATGACAATTAACTACACTAAATATCCACCCAAAATTATATATATATATATACATATATATCAAGCAGTTTTGAAAATTAGCGTGCCCTTCATATACTAAGATGAATAAGACAATCACTCCCCATGCCAGATAGAGCTCCGCCGGGCAGTCGCTCAGCTCATGGAGGTCCCCATGGGAACTGGGCATTGATTTCACCGGTCAAAATGGGAGCATTGATACTGAATCTCCACAGGTTGCTGGGAAAATTCAGTGTTGATTTTCCCGTGGAAAACAGATGAACACCTCAAATTTACAGGCGATCTTCCATTGCCAGGCTTGATGACCGAAGGGTAAACCTTCCTATCTCTGGGAATATGTGGGATCTTCGCCCGATGCAGGAAATCGCCTCCTCTTCGGCTGAGCGTTTGCGTTTGGCGCTGGAGGAATGTGAGAAGCCAGGCTGCGGTGATGGACTTTTTCCTCTTGATGCAGAAATGGAACTCAAGACTAAGGAATAGATGTTCGAAAAATCCTAGAGTGATATTATCTGGATATATAGCTCTTAATACAGCATCTGGATGTATAGATCTCAATACTCACAGATCTTAACATGTTCTGGTTGGTGGTTTGGAACATGATTTTTATTTGTCAATATATTGGGAATTTCATCATCCCAACTGACGAAGTCCATCATTTTTCAGAGGGGTAGGTATACCACCAACCAGATGATTATTCACCATCATTAACCATCATCATTAACCATTATTAATAGTATATTAACCACCATGGTAGGTTGATAGGTATACCTCCAACCAGTTAACATGTTATTTGCGTAGGTTTTTTGGAGATCTGTGTAGGTCGCTTCTTGAACTTGCCTTGGCGGGGCCTCTTCTCCCCAGAGGCTGGCAGCCAGCCAGGGGAGCACGTGGGTCAGAAATGTGCAACGATGAGAGAGATTACCCTCCATATCCCTCCATTAAACTAACAGTTTGCTACGGAAAATGGACCATATATAGATGATTTACATTGATTTACCCATTACAATAGTGATTTGCCAGTTCGCTATGTTAGTTTACCAGAGGGTAAGCAAGTAAGAAATAGTACTCGTAGGAATGTGGAAAAATAATGAAAAATAGCGATAATTAAATCATTCAAGGGTCAGTCCTGCCGCAACTGTATATTGAACTTCGCAGCTGATGAATGGCACATTTCATTTGGCGTCACCCATGGTCACCGTGAAGCTTGGTCCCAGGGTTTTCTAGGCCAAATTTTGAGCTTTGAAGCAGCTTACAGCGTAAAATTTGGATGGCCATCCCACTTACAGTAACACTAGAGATCAAGCACAGAATGATCACTTCCAGACAAGAGATAGAGTATCGCATTCCAGCTCTATTAGAAAGTCTGGTCGGCACTTTGCTCATCGCAAGCCAGATTAACATGCCTTGATGATTACGATGAGCCTAGTGCTTTCGTCCAGAACCGTGGCTGTGGCTATGCAGGGTGGCCACCGTGCCATCGCCACTTCTTCAAATTTTGGAGTATCTCAAAAAGAATCCAAGAGATAGTTATATATCTCAACTTAGCTATCTTATAAACCATAAATATCCACAAATATCCATAAACCGTAGCTAAAAATTCTCTGTGTTTGATCAATTGATGTCTCTTTTGGGGGCTCTATGGGGCTCTATATCTTTGACGAAAAGATCCTGTCGGCCAGGACCTTCAGCTCGGATGCTCAGCGACGGAAACGGGTGAAGTTCAGCGACCGTCTGGAAGTGCTGCGGCGTTGTTTTTTTTGCAAAGCTGGCTTAATATAGGTTGATATATCTTAATAATTGTTATATCATATATATATTATATATATAATATGTATATATAATATGTATATATAATATGTATATATATTATAATATGTATATATATATATTCATATATCTTATGTTATTATACAAAAATATTAGGTATACGTAGTATAATTCCCCATAACAATCAAGCAACAAGGGTTTTGAACACTACTCAGATCCGGCATAACATACATAACCCCCTCAAAAAAAAAAAAACGACATGTTGATTCGTCGCCAATCCAACTTGAAGATCTTGAAGTGAAACAAACACTGGGTCAAACTGGGTCACTGACCAAAAGTATCGAAGATGCTCCCAGTCCAAGTTGGGGTTCCTCCGATCACTTCATGTCTCAGGTTTCCGCTATGGCTTGGTGATTATTTGATGCCGGATGAGTCCCATGCAGCTGCCAAAGAGCGCTTGGGACAGCTGCTGGGTCTGGAACCCAGATGAGTTGAACTTCAAAAAATATCCTGGTGAAGCCTGGCGGATAAGTTACATTAGTTATAGTAGGGAGTTGTACTACCTGGGTTTTTGGGAATTATTTGAATCGCCCAGATGTCGGAGAATTCCTTTTCTCTAGCAGCATCTCGCACAGCACAGGGCTGGCTGTGGGCTGTGAGTAATTGGACAATCTTCATAGGCCTCAAGGCCCAAAGAGATTGATGCTATTCTGGCTGAAGATTTTGGTTACTGTAAACCATTGGTGGAATCATCCCGAAATGACCCAACATGACTTCAGGTTGGTGGTTGGTTTTCCCAGATCTCATCCATGTTGCTACCCCGGCTGCTACCCCCATCCAAGGCGTGCAGGAAGAAGCTCTGGAACAGGTCGGAGTCATGTTTTGGGTCCTGAAATGAGGAATGCATCCCCCGATGTGTGGCGTTTCAATGGGAAAGATGAGTCTTTTCACCATGCCTAAGAATCAAATTTTGGGGTAGCTCGTTTTCCGACAAAGCCATGCGTACTAGCCACCTTTTCAGCTGGGAACGCTCAGTAGATTTGGCACACTGCGTTCAATCAATATGTCCAGAATAGAGAACAATAGCTATTGAAAATTGCCATTGATAGTTGATTTACCTATATTTACCCATTAAAAATGGAAATTGATTTGCTATCAGTGGTCTCTCATTCCCACTGAAATCCTTGGCGCAGGCGCCCGACTTCCTCGATGAGCACAAGCTCCTTACAGCACATGTTGGCACCTATGGTCCGCCGCTGTGGGTGGCGGTCTAAACGGTCCAAATCGCTTCAAGGGTGTGATGGTATGTAATCCCAAGATATCCCAAGGGTTCAAGCCAGTCTTTTTCTTCATATGTGCATCTTAAAAATGGATAAAAATGGATACATCAGCATTTTTGAGTCAATCCTGCCTTCTTTATCCTTCTTTGATGTTATTGTTCCCGAGATCTTCGATCCCCACGTGAAAACCCACGTTTTTGCCCTGGCCGGCTGCGTGAAATCGCATTTTTCTGGGTTGAAAGCACCATGAGATCATCGTTTTGGGGGACGATGATCCAGACCCTGCTATGAACCCTATGATTCATCGCATAGGGGATGAATATCCATAAATCAACCATAAATCCACAAATCAGCCATAAATCAGCCATAATCAGCCATAATCCTCCACAATCTTCCATAAATCCTCCATAAATCCAGAGCTATCACCCATCCCTATCGGCTCAAACTGGAGGACCGGAGCCTGGAAGCGACCGAGCTCAAGGGAAAGCTCCCAAGGCGGGAAAATGATGACGTGTTTTTTTTAGGCTGAAATCATCTGAAATCAGATCTCATTCAAATCATTACGGGACTGGGCTGTTTTTTTTTCCAAATGTTCAGAGCAGTCAGAGCGAATTCGTGTTCGACGAATTTATGAAACAAACTTCAGGCATTCAGATTTATGAACGTTTTTTGTCATGTTGTAGCTGTGAAAATTGTGTGCAAGAAACGGGTCTCAATGTGTCTCCCCTTAGGTAATCGCATTCCCCGTTCATATCAAACCTCCCTGACTAAACCGTGGTTTCTGGCGGGTGGAGCTGCTTTCAATTCAGCTTGGTGGCTAAGCCGTCAAAAGTTGATTCAAAAGCTGGCGCCAGAACCCAGCTTTTCCATGATAGCCTCAACAATCTTCGGATATATCATGATAATTCATGGTTTATTCATGTAAATTGAGATCATTACACATCATATATCCCATTATAAAATACTATAAATGTCCATTGTATATATGTCCAATATATTCCAATATTCATGTCATGACGGGATATGACCATTTCCCCATTCACCCCAATGAATTTTCCGAACCTGCCGCCACAAGGCATCCACCTCTGGAAGTTCCGGACGCTCCGGCAGCTCCGGAGTTCCGGTGGCGCTGACCACGTGTGCCGAAGTCGGAATTCGGATGGTACGTGGATTGGATGGATGATTTCATGGTGAACAAATCTGAGGTGAATTATTACCCTCTGGTAATGACTGGTAATGACTAACAGTTTGCGAACTGGAAAGATCCACCCTTTTTTTCACCATTTTGTAGCTGGGTAAATCCACTTTTCAATAGCTATGTTAGTTTACCAGAGGGTATTCATTATTAACTGGAAATGTTAGGCCATCAAACTGGGTCAACCGACTGGTTAAATACGAACTACAGTAGATCGACGGTACTGTATTTTTTTTCTGTCAATGGTCAAATGTACTAACCAGCTAAACAGCTAAACATTAGACTTTTTGACAGGTATCTAAGATTCACAATGTTTAATGGATTATTTAATGGTCAATCATGGTAAATAGTGGTTAGGATTCCGGATGATCTAATGGTAACTTGAGGATCATCCCATGCATCGTTTTTAAGTGGTTAGATAGTTGAGTTACCCTCTGGTAAACTAACGTAACTATGGAAAATCACCATGTTTCATTGGTAAATCCACGAACTAAATGGTCATTTTCAATAGCTATGTTAGTTTACCAGAGGGTATGTTTAGTTTACCCAGTTATAAATGGGAAAAGCTACTGAATACGGACTTAGTAACCAGGGTCATGAAACAGTTACAAGCTGTGGGATGATCCTCCAAGTCCTGGATGAACTTCAATCATCTACACCTACTTTGTTGTCCCAAGAATTGCGGCACCAAAAAAGACGATAAAGACATGATAAAACCTGATAAAGCCCAGATAGAATCAGATTATGTCTGTTTACTGACGTGTCAAGCATCATGAAAAATCCCAGAATTGGGGGCGGAAAAAAAAAAAACGCTCTCCAGGTGTGGCTATGGTGGTCCTCATCTTAGCCGTCGCGATCCCAAAGATGCTTTAAGGTGGATGCTCAAAATTTCCCGGAACAACCCCTGGAATAGGGACCTTTAGGTGGGTTTAAACCCGATGGCGAAAAAACACCATCCAAGTTTAACAATGTTTAACCAAGCAGCGTCAGGGTGTTTAAAACATTTTAAAACTATTTACATAATTTATATTGCCCTTAAATGAAACCAATTAAACCCCTATATGTGATGGTGAAACCATGTCAACCCCAATTTGTGTGGGTAAAATCGGGTAAAACCGCCATGTTTAATCAAAATGGTGTGTTTTGTCTCCCCATCCACCATTTGAAAAACGCCTGGATCAGGTGGCCCTGCAGAACAAAAAAGCAGCGACAGGGTTGCGGCGGGACCCACTTGGTGGGGTTTAGGTTATCTCTTTATGATTTTTTGACGAATTCTAATCCCCATAGCTTGGGACATAACCTCTATATCTATGGACCCTATGGACCCTATGGACATACAAAAAAAAACACGAATGAACTGGAACTGCCGGTTGATCATCATTTCCCCCTTATTTGATGGACACAAACTATATTATTATTGTGGTAAAGCCCATGTTCACACACACCCATGATTGTCCTGGGCTCCAGCCATTTTGTCTCCGGGTCGGGCAATTTTCGGCAGCACGCGCGGCTGACAGGCGGCATGCTGTCACTCATTTTTGCCCGGGAAATTAACTAGAAATTGGTCATAGCCATTTTCCATAGCTATGTTAATTCACCAGAGGGTATATCCCATTCGTATCCCAGTCAATCCCCATGCTTCATTATTCCCATGATATTCCATGAAACAAGGTAGCTCCGCCTCCTTTCCCAAGTTCCGTGGTGTTGACAGTGGCGGCAGGTGCGACAGAGTGATGCAGATCCGACAAGTTGTGCCCCACCTCGTCAGGGTACCACAAAGAGTTGCTGCTGAACATGACTTGGGAAGATGTCAGTAGATGTCAGTAGAAAATCAGAGGTTGAAAATGCTGGACACATATGGACCCACCTATAAAGATATATGAAAACAATATTGAAAACAAAAAACTGAAACATGTCTGAGTCTGAAAGCTTGTGTTTGTCTTAACATCAGCATCATCAACATCCACAGTCACTTGATGTAACTTTCATCCTAAAGCCATCGCTTCGCTGAGGTAAGAGGAGCCAGTTTCCAGTGGCGTTTCCTACCGGTTGAAGGCGATATCCATGTGTTTTCCATATGATATTATGTTAATTACCCTCTGGTAATTTAACATAGCTATTGAAAATGACCAATTTATAGTTGATTTACCCATTGAAAATGGTGATTTTCCATATAGTTACGTTAGTTTACCAGAGGGTATACGGCAACGACATTTAAATATGTGGAGGGCGGGCCAGACCGCGAGGCCCAGGAGGTACCTGTAGTATTTTCAATACCAGTTCATATATTTCAAAATCCGTATATTTAAATGTACTTACCCGTATAAAATAGTTGGTTATCACCAATATAATACATATGGTAATTAACCATAATTATTGTTGTTCCATAATTTGGTGATGTTCCATATGTTAGAAAAAATGATAAAATGATTTTTTCAATGACCAATGATTATCTTTTGTTTCACGTTCTATAGATCCTTTTCGATATGCTAATACTGGTCATTTCGATATGCTTTGATTGGCTCGAAACATGGAGAGCTTCTGGATCATCCTTTGAGACACCATTTGGATGGTCGGTGGATTTCTCATCAAAATCTCTAAGAACGATCGAAGAAAATATGTATGAACATCTAACATGGTTAATGGTTAATGTCGTGGTTAATAGTGTTTAATGGTTAATGGTTAATCAATCCAGCTGGTTAATCAATCTGGGTAAATTTCATCACGACCGAACCCTGTTCTCCCTAAGCCTGGAAATCTAAGGGAAATCGTAAGGCGTAAGGGAAATGATCCCCAAATGGCCGCAAGATTCAGGGTAATGAAATATTATAATTTACCCAGATACATGTAGATACATGTAGATACATGCAGCATTGCTAATGACCATGTATCAAACTTGATCCAGGGTTCCTACACAGAACTCTCAGTGAACATCGCCACGCAATCTGCGAAAAAATCCCAGGGCTCAGACGCCGTAGCTTCTCTTCTGCGAGCAAGGCGCGATTCGGTGGGTTTTTTAAGCACCGAAGATGGGAATTTTCGCTATGGCAACTGGTGATTTCAGCAACCATAGGGGATTGCTTAATGTAGGTTAGCCAATGATAACCGTAACATACTGTAACTGCTTGGTGGTTTCAACTACGCATTTTTTGGATGATGGTCCGCCCAATGATCCCCAAGGATGAGGAAACATCGGATGTGGCAAGTCACTGAAGCCTAAAAGGAACCACACGTTGGAACCATTTTGGTGAGGTCAACACCTACAATTATCCAACAGATTCCAATGGTGTTTCTCTTTCTCAAGGAAGCATTCAGCTACACAGTTATACATGGGCTATATCCAGCTATTTTGATGTGAACAGAAGGTTTGTGTCCATAGCCGTTTGGGAAAATCTCTGGAAAGTACCTCCCCAACGACCATTTCCCTATTTTTCTTTCCATGGTCATGTTGTTTAGCACATTCCCCATTTCCAGAGACAGAAAGCCTGTTTTCAGCGTCATTTGAGGTGGTGGCTTCAGCACAGGAAGCGCTGAAAGACGTGCACGATGGTGCCACGCTTTGTATCGGTACCTCGGTGGATATGTGCCAAAATGGTTCCCTCGGTACTAACGAAAATGCACGGAAAAACCATGCATTTTCTCTGAACATTCAAGATATTCAAGGAAAAACTCAACTCAATGGTGTAAATTCCCTAGTTTGGGGGGGCATACCCCATTCTCACAGACGCCCATATCACAAGATCCGTCTATAGCTACAGTATGCACCATGGATATTGAGAAGAATTGAGAATAATTGTGATATGATGTTGGAACATGTTGGAACCAAAAGTTGATGTGCTGAATGCTGCTGAATCGGTCTGCCATTTCTATGACCCTACATGGGTCTGTCTGAAAATAGGCTACCCCTATGGTACCCCTAAAGTCAATGGTTGATCATCAATCATTGCTTATAACTGTTTAGCCATTTTGGGGCGTTTTTCCCGCGGGATTTCCCCTATTTTCAGTTCTGTTCAGATCCACATCCAACATACATCCAACAATCAGGTGGCTTCGGTCTTTGTGGCATCCCTGAGAATTTGATTGAAGCGCTGCAACAGAAGGTGCCTGTAGAACGCTATGTTGTTCTCATAGATTGGAAAATCATGACAAAGGATAAATATGGTAGAACAGTAGGACATGAATGAATACACTTCAGGTCTTTAGAGGTCAAAAAGATAGAGAAATGTCTCCCGACTTTTTCTGGATGCCAGCCGACTTCATCCGATATTGACTGCGACAGGGGACGAAAGACCTTACTGTCCATTGCTTAGATCAGCTGTGCAATGGAAAGTTGGATCAGACACCTGGGGGCTGGTTGTCAATCCAAGAAAATCGGCCATTGATGGCAATTGGAATCCCAAAAAATCCCATGATGTAAGGATTCCGGTCCGGATGACCAGACCCATCCAGACCCCAGCCGTCATGCCATTTTTGATGACCGAGGCAGTGTCAAACAACGCCGGAGTCGACAATTTTGGCTTGGGCCTTTTGCTCCAGTCGAGGCGCCACGGCGCCACTGGACTGGACTGGTCATTGGTCCCAATTTATCAGATCATTTTAGAGATTATTTAGAGATCATCAATGATGGTTTAAAAATAATATCATTCGAAAATATTCGAAATATCAGATAAATTGGTCCCATTTATCAATGATGATCACTATCAGATTGAATATGATATAAGTATGTATGATTCAATTGGGGATTGATCAGTCCAAGATTGACATGACGATTATTTTTTCGGGCTCACATGGACTGGATCCAATCCAGCTGCGATGATGTTGCAGTAGGTCAGTTGGTGCAGTCATGGAAAATGCTAGTTTCACCCTGTTCGAACCATTTAATTAAAAACCAAGATTCAGCATTGAAAATCGTGACATGAGAGACCCCCGCTGTTGAAAGTAGTGTTCATCCAAATTATTGACTTCATGATGTTTGAATAAATCACTCTGGTTTGTTGTGTTCAAGAACATCCATTTCGACAGTTCTTTCACAAAAAACGACAGGGCGAGTTCCAGGTATTCCAAGTCAAATCCCAGCAGCCCAGGCAGATCAAGCGCATGATCTCCTCGTATGTTGGCGAGAACAAGCTCTTTGAGGTACCCGGGGGGTTCCGTTTTGTCATGGGTACCCCCTTGCATCATCCAATCATCCAAGTCATTCCACCATGACTTAGTAATGAAACCTATGGTGACTTGGGGAGTCCCCATTTTAAGAAACCCCCATATGATATATATATATATATATACGTATATATATACATATATATACAGTATATATGTATATGACATAATGACATACATGATTATTATTATTACTATTATTTTATTTTTATTATTATTATTATCATTATTATTATTATTATATATATGTATAGATATATATATATATTAGTATTCATGTATATATGTATATATGTACATATATATATATATATACGTATGTATATATACATATGTATATATATATACATATGTATATATGTATATATGTTGATTCCCCTATAATACTATATGCTTCTTTGGAATGGTCACAATCACCAAATCTCTGTAGCGCCCTAAGCGAGAAGCGATCACGTGTGTCGAAATATCTACGGACCAACCAGCTGGAAAGTGCGCATGATCTGATGGCCATGATTAATTGATTGTTTTGGCCATGAGCCACCAAGTGACCATAGAGATTTAATATGGGTATATAGCGATTGTTAATGGTTAATACTGGTTAATACTGGTGAATTAATAGTAACTGGTTGGTGGTTTGGAACATTAATTTTATGACTTTCCATATATTGGGAATTTCATAATTCCAACTTACTTTCATATTTTCAGAGGGGTAGGTATACCACCAACCAGCATTAATTGATATAAATTGATATTGATTGGAGGTGTCCTAAGTCATAGGGGTACCCCTAAATCATCCAGAAATTCATAGATAATAGATGATGTTCATAGGATTTTCCATGAAATAAACCATCCAGCGAGCTTGGGATATCCCCATTCCCCCAGTGGATATGTGCTCCGCAGGAGCAGTATCTCACAGGCCAACTGGAAGTGGAACTGACCCCACAGGCGGTCAAAGTTGGGGATGGTGTATGAAATTGGGTGAATCCCATATGGAAAATATATGGAAAATATAGAGAAAATATGGAAAATACATGATGGTTAATGATGGTTACCCTCTGGTAAACTAACATTTGGCTATGGAAAATCACCATGTTTAATGGGAAAACTCACTATAAATGGCCATGTTCAATAGCTGCGTTAAATTACCAGAGGGTACCACATGATATATAGAATATGTATGAATATGTTGAAGATCTGTAATTAATGGATTAGATATGAAATAGATATCTACAAGGATTTATGAGGAGTACTTGCATTTGCAAGGTGGTTCTTGGAATTTTTCCTGCTCCCATTCAGAGCGTGTGCGCAGCAATCAGAACCACTTTTTGCGAGCGTATCCCATGAGACACCACCGAGAGAATGGACATGTGTATCTGAAACTCATATCACTATGCATAGGTACCCTCTGGTAAACTAACATTTGGCTATAGAAAATCACCATTATCAATGGGTAAATCAACTATAAATGGTAATTTTCAATAGCTACGTTAAATTAGCGGAGGGTAAGCACAGGCGCGTAATCTGAAATCACCACCTTCCTGGTAGGGCACCTTGGCTGAAAGGCTGCGAGCAGGCGGCAGTTCCGGCCCGGCCATTGTTTCGGGGAAAATGATGGAAAAATTGTGGATGTTCACCCAGAATTTATGGCAATTGGGTCAATGTTCATAGGGAAAATGATGGGAAGATGATGAAGAACCATGAGATTTCTGTGGGTTTTCCCTGACTTTCTCCGAGAAAGCCAAGGTTATTAGCCATGGCCATGTCCTAATGGGTCAGAAATGGGGAGCCAACCAGTTGGAGCAACATCTCGCTTCAGGCGGTGCGGGCATTCCAGCATTCTACACGCGGACCGTCACACTGCCCAGCGTTGACACTGCTTCCCGGGCACAACTTGGCACAACAACGCACAACTCGTTGGAAACAGTTTAACCGTTTGCCACTACAGTGGCTTATTATAAGTAATGTGGGTAAAATCCATCATAATAATAATAATAAATAATAATAATAAACCCAGCCTAATTTGGGAATGGTAAGTTTATACCACCAAGATCAAGCCAAAAATGGTGATCCAAGGCATTCCACCAAAAAATTGCTTGGTTTCAGGGGAAATCTACAGCCATGGTGCGTGTGTGTCGCTAAAATGTGTTTGGACCAGTTTGGAAATGTCACAAGTAGCTGATACAGATATGAAATATGATAAAATGATATAAAGTCCTACCAAATAGTGATACATCAAGATACATAACTTGTCCATATCTTTTTTGGGGATATAGAAAATAACAATCCAATTAAAACCTACCAAATGTGTTGGTGAAATGACTTGGATGCTCTCCATGCTCTCCATTGGTTGAGTCGTCTTGATTGTCAGGCCTATGGTACTGCTGTCCATGAAGGGCAGAATGTGATTAAATACGGCCCCGGCGGTGCAAAGGTGGGAGATCTTTTGTGGATTTCGCGAAGGAAGGGGACCAGTTTGTGTTTTTGAGCAGCACATAGAGTTTACAAATACTACATCTCAACTTCGTGATGGAAACACATCGTACACCAAACTTCTTGTGAGACACAGAACTATATATGTCACCTTTCCCTAAGTGAGCTTGGAAGATGTTTCTTGAAAATTGTCACTTTGGGGTTCCATCATATTCCGCTCATACAAGGTGGATTTGTCTGAACATAGGGGATACTCCAATGTATAAATTGGACAAAAGTTAAACGGATAAAATTGATAGCAAATGAACAATGTTAAAAAGAAAACTCATCTCTTAAATGGATAAGCATTGCTTATGGTTATCAAACATGAGATGTTGGAGAGCACCTCCACACTTTGAGATGTATCCATGTATGGAATATAAGTATAATTCCAATACATTAGTCCCAATTGTAAGAATGATAATATTAAGAACAATTGCCATCCAAGAAATTTAACAGTTTGCTATGGAAATTTTAACGGCCCATTTTGTTCGATGATTTACCGTGTTCGAACATGTTGATTTTCCAGCCATCTATGTTGAAGTACCAGATGGTGACCAATGGTTATGAACCCACTCAATTATAGTTTTATAACCACATGCGTGTCCCGCTATAACCATTATATATTATATACAACTATTTACGCAAGTCTAGCTGCCATGAGAACGATTATAACTTATAACTATGTTAACTGATATTTATTTACAGTATTATTATTATCATTATTAGTAGTAGTAGTAGCAGTAGTAGTAGTAGTAGTATTTATTATTATTATTTTATTTATTTATTATTATTATTTATCATTATTATTATAACTATCACTATCATAACTGAATTAGATCGCCAGAGCGCATCTTTTTTTTGGGTATCGCCATGTTTATCGGATTGCGTCGCGAGGCGGGAGACGTGGCCATCATGAGTCAGCCAAGGGAGTCGCGGGATTTCGATGGCAAAGGCTTGGTCCTCAGGTTTTTTCCCACCAAAAACCAAGGTGTTCATACATCATATATCATCATATTATATATTTGTATACATGACATTGTCGTATCAGTATTGTAAATATTATATATATATAATTATTCATGTATGTACATACATATACGCTGTGTATACATATATACATATATGTATGTATTTTTATTGATCTATGTATTCATGTATTTATCACTGCGTTATCTCTCATGATGCAGAATGATGAATTTGAGTGCTTGGAGTCATCCATCATTGTTTTTTTTGGCTGCCTTTTTCGGTTGGCATTTAAGGCTCATCCCATTCTTCAGCCATCTTCGGCCTGTTCTTCATGGGATATTTCATTTGGATCCAGCTTCGGACATATCTTGGAAATCTTTGGGGAATACTTATCAGATTTATCCCATATAAGATGAATAGGAACCATTAATCAACCAACCATTATATATCAACCATTAATCATGAGATATCGCATTAACTAAAGATGAATAGGAAACTAAAGATCAAAAATCCTAGCGGCTAGGCGTAGTTCACATGGACCGTCATAGTCCAAATGAGTTGGCGTGTTCTCTATGCCAGCTCAGTCCCGGAAGATGAAGGTAAAGTTTATAGGAAACCCATTTGTTGTACAATGTGGTGTCCCCCCAGATATAAGTTGGTTTATAAACCCCATTAACTATAGTTATAAGTATAATAAACTATAGTTATTGTAGGAAAGCAAGATTTCCTGTGTGTCCTCAAAACCTTCAGGAACCTTGGTGAAATTTGATGAAGGGTAGTCCAATACGAACTAAATCTAAATCCTGTGTTGCTATGGCAATCTCATCCCCCCCGTTCACTAAATACTGCCCGCAGAAGGCATGGTTTTGTTAACCTATTTGGGACCATTTAGGCATCTAGGGGGTGTTTAATATGAATGGGGGAATGGCTTTACAAACTATGAACATCTATTAATCATGATGAACCACTATTAACCATTATTAAATCTTAACCACTGTCGGGTATCTCAGGTTGGCCGGGTTTTCAAGCGATCTTCTCCCAGGCTACATCATGGAGAAGGCCATTGTCGGAGACTTTTCCATCGTCAAAGCGTGGAAGGCACTCCGCGAACCTGCGATATGGGTATGGATCAATACCTATACATACCATTTTTAGGGGGATGAACATCCATTTACCAGCTATTTTGATGTTCACCAGGGGGATAGGGTTTTGACCCATCCCCATATTGAGAACCTCAAAATCATCCAAGTTATTGGTGATCAATGGGAAAAGCAACCATGAATTGGGCCAGATTTGCGATGGAACCCCCCTTTTTTTCACAGGTGACCTTTTTGAATATCATGAAGCTGCCATGTTTTTTTGGGGGGGACGAACATCTATAACTCCCGCTAGTTTTTTATGTGAAGAGGGTACTGATCGGGTGCCATGACCCAGAAAAAATGATATGGTCAGGAAAGGTACAGGTCCCTCCTCTTAATATCAAATAATATCAAATGATATTGACTAATAAATATATGTTTTTAATTACTATTCATTAAATTATATTAAATTAAATGATTAATATATACCCAAAACCAGCGGGCTTTTGGAGTCTAGGACTCCTAGACGGAGTCTTGGGAAAGCTCCAGGCCGATGAGCGCGGAAACCTCGTATGGCGAGGGACCTCCAGGCGATGTCCTGAAGCGAAAAATGGGTTTCTTAAAATGGGGGACCCCCAAGTCGTGGGATTATGATGATTAATGGTAAAGAAATATAATAATAATAATATATAATAATATTACCCTCTGGTAAACTACATAGCTATCGAAAAATTACCATCTTTAATAGGTAAATCAACTATGAATGGGCCATTTTCAATAGCTATGTTAAATTACCAGAGGGTAAGTATTATAACTCACCAGTTAATGGGATATCTCATGATTAATGGTTGATATATCATTAAAAGTGGTTCATAATGGTAAGTGATGGTTAATAATGGTTTCTTAAGTCATGGGGGCTCCCTAGTCGTCACCATGGGTTAAGCAATCTTAAAATCAGCCATGACTTGGATCTTAAATATGTTACATGGGTCCCCCTATGACTTAGGAAAGTTCCAAATGGTGAGTAGATGGTGAGTATACCCATGGTCAATCCCATGAATCCCAAAGAACGAGATCTTTGGGAGCCACTTTCTTTTTGGCTTCAGGGATTTTTTATGTCGACATCAAGAGACATCTTTTATCATCACTGGGAGACACCTGCTGAAACCCCAGGGGATCTGCAGGGATCCTCTCGATTCGAGGAATTTCAATCCAGACTGCGCCAGAGCTGGAAAGGCGCCAGGGTCGATGTCGATGGTTTTCTGCAACGGAGCAACGCTTTCTGCAACCATGGTAAACTGGTTGGTGGTTTCAAACATGAATTTTATTTTCCATTTCATATATGGGATGTCATCCTTCCCATTGACTTTCATATTTTTCAAGATGCTTAAAACCACCAACCAGTAAACCTTTGTGGCTGCACGCATGTCTGAAGTTCAAAATGCTTAAAGTATATCCTACTCCACGCACTGTGTGTTTCCATGTGTTGCCGCTTTACTCTCTACATAAATCTAAATAAGCAGTAATACACTGAACCCAAAGGACTGATATGTTATATACTATGTGCAAATATTCGATCTACACATGTGTTGGCAGCTCACATGATACACTGTATAAGAATATATAATGACAATAACAGTAATCATATCTAATAATAACAATGATTAATAACACCGTTTCTACATCTACATATACATATATATATTATATACATAGAATTATGTATCATTACATATGTGTAATATCATATACATATATACATTTATCCAAAAAAAACTATATATTTTTTTCTAGTGAATATGTCTCTGTCAAAGCCCGCCAGGTTTGCATCGCAGAGGTCGAAGAGATCGTCCCCGTGGGTTCCTTGAGTCCGGAGGAGCGGCAAAAAAATCTGCTTCGGACCCGAGACGCAGCAAAGATGGTGGGTTTTTAGCGGTTTACCATGGTTTACCATCTAAAATGAGGATTTAACATGATTTGACCATCAACTTGTTGGGAATGTTCATGGAGTTTAAGCTGATTTAACCATCAACTTGTTGGGAATATGATGGATACGAATGAATTTTAATCAACAAGAATGGTGGGTTTAATATCTAAAATGAGGATTTAACCTGATGATTTATCTATTCAAAATGGTTACTGTCCATAGCAAACCTGTCGAATTACCAGAGGATACCAGAGGTAACTAGTCAAACATTGATTGACACTGAATGGAAACATGTTTGAAGACTCCAAGAACTGATTGTGAGATAAGTGAGATAAGTGAATAGTTACTAGCCCGTTGCATTGAGAAGATGTGGCTTTGTTCCAACCGTTACAACATGCTGTTTACCAACCCCTCAAGGAACAAAAAAGGTTGCCTACACTAGACCCCACTGGGCCGACGAAGCTGGCTAAGCGACAGTGTACTTTCTTTCCGATAAGTCCTCAATGTTGCAAACGTTTGGAGAATTTGACATTTCTGCATGAAATGGATCATTTCTGGTTGTCGATTGTCCAACCTGTGGAAATGCATTGAGAAACAGTCGACTATCCGAAATTCAATGGCTGAACTATGGGGAGATTAGAGAAATATAGAGAAATACTGGTTGGTGGTTTGGAACTTGTTTTTTTCCATTTCAGATATGGGATGTCATCCTTCCCATTGACGAACTCCATCAATTTTTCAAGATGGTTATATAAAACCACCAACCAGTTCATATCATTCCAGTTGACATTCCACATTCAGCCATAGTTCAGCCACATATTCCCCACACATTCCACATTCGGCTGCTTTTTTGGAAGGAGATCCACCTTCCTGGGATCTACGTGCACAGAGTGGTGCAGGGCAAGGCTGAAACATCACCGGCTTTCTGCTTTTTCGATGCCAACCAGGGACCGACATGATTAGTTTGTACTGAGTTAATAGTGATTTATATTGCTTAATAGTGGTTTTTATTGTGATTAATAATGGTTAATAATGGTTAATAATGATGAAAATGTGGTGAATAATAGGTGTTAGTAGTTGCTAATAATGAATAAATCACTTTAAATTTTATAGTAATCCCATCCCCCTGAGTTGGTAAATTTGAGTCTCCCGAAGCCTCCCTCAACGGGATGATGAACATCTGAATTAATCCATAATTACATAGGATACAAAAATCATAGAAATCATGGAATATTATATACATAGGATAACAGGATAGTGTATATCATTACATTTATTTAAAAAAAAAAACGGAATATCCATGTATGTGATTCTAGTTGTAATAGAAATAAATATGTGACTATGTGGACAAGTAGTTCGCTGGAAGAGGTGACCAAGTTGAGTTTTTTTTTACATGGGTTGGTTTCCCTTATTGGGGGATGGTCATCAGTCCATGTTCACAGGAATTTATATATCTCTTTATACATACGTATACGTATATATATATATACACATGTTTCCAGGATTCTTAGTATGGGATGAACGACCACAGACCATATTTTGACTGTGGCACAGGTTTTTCTTTTATGCTAGCTAGTTATATGATGTGATCTGATATTTTTTTTCATGATATTTTATGATATTATGTGATATTACCCTCTGGTTATTTAACATAGCCATGGAAAATCACCATTTTTAATAGGTAAACCCAGGTGAACCATCTATAAATGGACCATTTCCCATGGCTATGTTTAATAACCAGATGGTATATGATATTATATGGGTAGTACACGGGATTAATCACTGACCCAGCCATTCACTGGGCCCTACGGGCCATTTCGCAGGGCTACGAGAAGAGAATAGAGAAGCGAACTGTCTCCACAGGCGGCGACATCAAGGTGAATCGCATCGGGACCATCGGGAATGGGTCGCAGAGTCGCAGAGTGATGCCTGATGGCCTTGGGTTTGCACTTGGGTTACCCTCTGGTTATGTTAACAGTTTGCTATTGAAAATGGCCATAGAAATAGTGGATTTTCCCATTGAAAATGGTGATTTTCCATAGTTTTTTGTATGTTTACCAGAGGGTATTTAACAGTTCGCTGTGAAAATCGCGTATTTATAGATGAACAGCTCGATGATTTACCCCAAAAAAATATATAAAAAATGTAGATGTTCCATAGCTAGGTCAGTCATAACCAGAGGGTACCCTTTGGGAATTAAACACACTTTGCTATGAAAAGTCACCCAAGAATAAACAGGTAGATTATCGAAGTACGTGGGCCCCGTGGGCCATGTTCACTGGCTGAGCCTGGTTGTTTGTGTATGTTTGCTGTGGGTAAAGAAAACAAGCTTATCCACTTGCAGACTTTACAATTTATCCTACTACACCTGGTTGGTGGTTTGGAACATTTTTTATTTTTCCATATATTGAAATTTTCACAACCCCAACTGACGAACTCATATTTTTCAGAGGGGTGGGGCTCAACCACCAACCAGACAAGTTTTTCACATGTGGAAGTCCGAAGAATTCCGTCACCAACGGACCACCGAATGATCCGCAGGTGGACAAGCGACGGGAACTCATTGTGAGGCCCCGGGAGCTGAGGGTTGGAGCCAGTGGTTTGAAGCAACAAACAATGTGGGGCCGTGTGGGCCCCCCAGTGATGTGAACGTTGGGTTAGATTCACCCCGCCATGAATACTATAGTTATAAGTATGATAAACATGAATAAACCATTGTTTTTGGAGTTATGTTCACCAACTTAGCTATCTAGGGGGCCCCACATTGTAGGGATCTAACCTTTCTAACCCATGAATCATGAAGGTTTTTTTCCTGGCTGGTGGTGTCAAAGTGTGGCTTTCTTAGGTAAAAACCATAGAAATGGGATGTTGATCCCCAATGACTAGTTGATATCTTTCAGGGGCTTGAAACCGGATGATATATTGAAAGGTGTTGATTTTCTTGAATGATATTTTTCGTGATATTGAGTGAAACTAGTGGTTGTGCCGCTTTGCCAACTAGTGACTTGGCTTGGTGGCCATCGACAACAAGACTCTTCAGGGGTTGACACCACCAGCAATTTGGTGGTAAAAGGGATGACCTCTTTTTTGTAAGTTCAAGCAGCGGCAACATCCCAGGAAGCCAGCAGGAAGATACTACTGTAATCCCAAGGGAGCAATATTGCATGTGGAAAGGCAACGCCTTCGAAAAGCAGCCCAAAGCAAAAAAGCGGATGTGTTTGATGAGATGGATTGTACAGAGGAAGCCTCCACGGGGTGAGTTCCACTTCAGCTTTAAGTACCACAGGCGGGCAGCAAAGGATCTGAAGAACGGCATGTATGTGAACTTGGGCATTGGCATGCCGACGCTGCTCGGACAACATCTTACTTGGAACATCCCAAAGGATGCTGGTAGTGTGTCTTCAAATGGAGATACCGACATAGCATGACATAGCATGATTCATTTTTTTGCATGTTTGATTCAGGGGAAACAAACAACATCGACCATAGGATGGGGGTTTGGGGGGTTTCCATGAGACAAACCCAACTCAGGCTTGTTAGCAACTATTTGGAGCCTGGTGTCAGGAGCTCAGCTGCTTCCACCAGCGTCTCCTGACTCGTCGACGTCCTCGAGCTGAGGTCAGGATTGAATTGCAGAGTGAGAACGGGCTGCTGGGTATTGGCCCTTACCCACCAGAGAGTGAGGCGCTTTTTGGGCACTCGGAGGATTAGATGCTCGTGAGATGTTTGTGTTTTGATTGCTTCAAATGGGTATAAACATGGTTGTGACGGTTGCGACATGTTGTCACAGCGTATAGATGGGGATACCTCCTTGCCTATAACCATGCTTGATTATATCAACTAAGTATCTGGAACCGCAGACCCTAGTTACCCTAGTTGCCTTTGCAACCTCAAGTTTTACCAATGTTTTGGAGATACCTTGAAACATGTGGAAAGCTTTAACCAGGCTGTGAATGAGGATACTCCAACATTTTGCAGAGCAATAGCAGATGTTGTTCTAATTGTCCAACTTATGCTTTGCTGTACTTTGTGCTGTAAATGTCTATCCGTCAACCCATTCCAAACTTGAACTGGTTGGTGTGTCCTATTTTTTTAGGAGACAACACATAGAACTCAATCCACTGGGTCATCATCGAAGTTTCCCTATCTTGTGTAAATCAGGTGGATCCGGACCTCATCAATGCCGGGAAGGCGCGACGAATCAATGGATTCTTTGAAAGGAAGAATTGTGGATCTGACGATCAGAAATTGGGGATTTATATAAGTGATTTAACCAACGAATCATGGATGGAGTGGATCAACGGATTGTTTTGGCTCGAGACAAGTGGAACAAGTTTCTGGGTCAACTAACTCGATGGCTCGATGGGTGTATCACAAGAAATGCTTTGATATGGTTGGTTGATGGTTATGATGGTTGGTTGAAATATACCTACCATTATTAATATACCTACCATTATTCAACCATTCATATGTTTGCTATAGATGGATCTTAAAATATCTTATAAATATGTACACGAAGATCATAAGTAATGCTGCGGAATTTAAAGATTGATCAAGATCGACCGATCTTTAGAAATAGGGATATTATGGGATATTTATTTGCAGCAGAATATCAAGATATATCAAGATGAATAGTTGATGACAAGGGTATCAAAGATTGGCCGGCCGAAATTCTCCTCCATGCCGTTTTGTAGATCACGCACTAGAGGCGTGACGCCTCTGGCGCGTTATGCAGCAAACTTGGAGGCTGAGTCACAGATGGCATCGTCCATGCCTTTCCCAATGTACACCGTAGCCCTGGAAGACGCTCTGAAGATGACTGCTGTGGAGCCACATGAAATGCTGAAGGAAAAGGCTTTGCTGGTTGAGTTCGAGAAGACCTTAGGGAAGGCAGTGTTCCTGTCACACCAGTGGGCCGGCAAGAATCATCCAGATCCTACTTTCGCGCAATTCAGTGTGTTCCAGGATGCCATGAGGAATATTTTATCGGATCATTTTCACCACATACAGTTGGATGTTGCCACTGAGACTGTAGTTCCAGAAGCCAAGCCCCTATCGACACAAGAATTCCGATTGGCAAAGCTATTTATTTGGTACGATTACTTTTCATGCCCACAGCTGGAGCACTCACACGGCCCAGAGAGCAACCTTGCGAAAGCGATCGCAAGCATCCACGGGTATCCTGGGTTTGTTCTGGTTTGTTTCGTCCGTGATTTTTGTTTGCATTTTCCCAACGGAACATCCACCCGGACTGGGGCATCGATGGGGATCTATAGGGAATATCTGTTTTTTTTTTGAGTTCCTTAAGCAACTCCAAGGTATGTGACCCGGTGTTCTTTCTTTTTTGCACTTTGCCCGTTCCTCGAGGACTCTGTCACAGTGCTCAGTCCGGCTAGCTGGGGGGCAAGGGGCTGGTGCCGATTAGAAAGGACCATGCGGGAGCTTTCCGAGGGCTCTTGGATTTTGATCAAAAGCGCAGAACGTCTTGAGCTGGTTGTGGGATCTCGAGCCTTGAACTTCCCAACAGGCAAGGGAGAGTTTGCCGTGGCCACTGACAAAGTGAAACTTGGCCCAATCCTCGAGGCTGCCCTCAAGGGTAAAATGCGGCAAGCTCTGAGAAAATCTGATTTGGTAACATACCGAGTAGTGCGAAACCTGCAGAGTGTTTATTTGAAAGGCCTTCCTGCTCAGTTGGAGCTAGATCTGGTGCCCGGGTTCATTTCCAGTGCTGACCATACAGCTTCAATCGTGGAGCACTTTCTGTACCAAAACGGCTTCCGGAGCATCCATGAAGTTGACATTGCTGGTTTCATGCCTCTCCACTATGCTGCTTTGGGAGGAGAAGCACAGTTGATCAAAGCCATGTTGGAAGAACGTGCAGATCCCACAAGCACCACACGCAAAGGACAGCCCATGCTCGGAACGCCGCGGGTGTCAGCGCTTGGGCTGGCACTGGGGTGTGGGCACAATGATGTTGCCCGGCTGCTGATCGAGGCGAAGGCGCAAGTTCAGGAGCATGGTACGCTAGCACCTGCTTTGCTGATGGCTGTTCCAAACAACGTTGAAGGAATGCGTCTTCTTACAGAAGCCCGCTGCGATCCCACAAGGGAGAAGCATTTCTTTGGTTTTTCAGCAGCTTCCAATGCATGTTTTACAAGCTCGCTGGCAGCTTTCGATGAACTCTTGTGCCGGGGTATCCACCTCTCAACGCTCCTCCACTTTTCTGCGATATCCAGGGAAGGAGGTGCCCAAATCACCCGCCGGCTCATTGAGCTAAGGGCCGACATAGATGAGCAATGGCAGGTTCAATGGCTAACACCTTTGGGAGGTTTAATCGCCTTCCTATCTCTTCGCTATGTATGTGGAAGAGACACTGCTGCGACACGACAGTTCTATACATTGCCTGGTTCAACGCCACTGATGTTAGCCCTTCTGTCAGGGAACTACGAGACAGCCACGATTCTCCTTCGTGAAGGAGCTCGGCTGGATCTTCGCAACGACAGGCAGGTGACAGCAGCAGATTTGGCACAGGGTGCCCCGGAGTTTCTCCAAGAGATTCTGAGAGGCGACTCTGTGTATTGTCGAGTGTGACTGCTGTTTGTCTAAAAGTCGGAAAAATGCCATAGATTGTCTCATTCGTTGAACCAAAGATATCAATGATGAGAGGTTGAAATTCTCATGGACCATCCCGAAAACCTGCTAAGTTGGGGATAGTTGGGGTAGTATGTACTTGGGATGTACTTGGGATGGTTTTGGATCAAGACGTATAGTAGATATTATTAGTAACTATATACATTTGCACTAGACTGATGTGATTTTCCTCAGGTGCTCGAAGCCTCGGTAAGCTACAATATTCATCGATGATTTTCGGTACGCTGAAGCCAATCGGAAAGCTTTTGGGAATCCATGCGATTCACCCGTGGTTGTTGGATGTTGGTAGTTGATAAGCCTCATAATTCCAACATATTCCAAGCATTCTCCAGATCATTCTCCGCTAATCCCCATATTCCCTTCGATTTAGTCATGATGATAGGATTGAAAAGCCCGATTTTGGCGGGTTGAATCTCCATCTTAAATATCTTAAATCCTATCTGACAGTAATAAAGCACATATATCATTGGAGGTGTCATCTTCAGATATCCCATTATAATACAATATATTACACTCCCATCATGAAGTAACATTCCAATCTATTCTGTCGGTTTCTATACCTCCAGAAAAGTTGATCATCAACTGTCTGATCTTCTATGATCTTCCCATATTCTGTTGGTTACAAAAACCCCCAGAAGGTGCATAAATGGGGGTGTCCATCAATGGGGATACCCCCATGTTAGGATTTTCCCCAACAAAAACCATCCAGCGATAAAGGGGTACCCCCATGACTATGGAAACCCCCAACTGGTGCATCCCTCGAAGGAGACGATCACTATGATCCCCGGCAGCAGTCTGTTTTCCTCCTCCGAGTCCTTCGGCATGATCCGCGGGTCCGGCAGCCAAGTCAGGTGGGGATATGATCAGAAAAATATCGTTGGGGCATGTTGGGGCTGTTATAGAATATATTCATGAAGATTCATGAATATTGCAGAATTATATAATGAATTTATTTATATAGAATTAAATAATGTATTTAGAGTTAAACAATGAATTATATAGAGTCAAAATCTGATATAGACATCGATTGGCCACTTGTACGAGAAAACATCATCCAAAATCAAGTAGTACTCCACGACTCACGTGTAAAGAAATGTTTTCACAACATCGTCATACAAATGTGGACCCCAATTGTTAGTTGGTGAACATTAATTTTCATAAACCCTAATAACCATAGTTATACTATGTTATACTTACAAGATCTTATAAGTATCATAAGTCATAAGTTAACATTAGAGTTGGTTATACTCCAATATTCCATAAGTTAAGCATTAAGTATCACCTAATACATAACCATACTTAAGTTATTAACCATGTTTAAGCATATCTAACCCTATATAACCATATGAGTTATTGGAGTTAGGTTCACCAACCTGGCTATCGTAAACCGGGGGGGCTTCACCCTTCGCCCAGGTCCAAGGTAGATGTGACCATCCTGGGTGCTATGGAGGTGCAGATTTGGCTCAGCGGTTTGACCGAACCACAGAGGTTATGATGCTTAACAATGGGTAATCATTGCTAATAATGGTCCTAAATGGATTATTCAATGGTATACTTGGAGGATCATCCAGTCCTCGTATTTGGTGAAAGTAACCATAGTTACTTCGCCCATGTATAAATGAAAAATAACCCGCTTAGAATCTGATTTGGAAGATATCGAAAAAAAAAAAGCGTTTCGTACGAGAAGAGGCCGTTTCATGAGCGTCGACCTGCCCCATCCCGCCGCTTATAGAATATTCAAATTATTAAAAAGATTCGAAATGTGTAGGTACTTTCGCCTAATCTAACAGCTGTAGATGTGTCGGTGTTTTCACCTAGTTCTTGCACCTGCATCTGTACACCTGCGTATTTAGAATTGTAAATGTGTCCGCCTAGATCTATACACTTGTATCAGTATATATATATATATGCGGAACAAGTTGTATAAATACTGTGAAGATATGTAAAGATGAAAAGGTGTAGGTGTAGATGATGGCGTTCATGTTGATCATGAAGGAACAATAATATTAGGATGCTTTTTGCTTTTGATGATGGTGATGATGAGTATGGTGATGATGATGGATGGTTGATGATGATGGATGATTGATGATGATGATGATGATGATGATGATGATGATGATGATGATGATGATGATGCTGGTGGTGGTGGTGGTGGTGGTGGCGATGGTGATGGTGATGGTGATGATGTTGAACATGTATGTTGGCAACCGTTCTTTGGAAGGAACCCTTCCCAGGAACTTTTGGGAAAATCTAAGTGGATGCACAAAATTCTTGACCTCAGCTTGCTTTTCCAAGACATTGGTGCTGCAGTTGGGGGCACTTTATTCGTTGACTATTTGTAATGAAAGTTTCCATGAGACTTGTATATAATTATGATGTGTATTTGGGCCATGGTAAAACCCGGTTGTTTCATGTTTAGTTGAAGGAAAGGCAGTGAGGATCTTGCGGTAGCAAACCCTTGATGTGTAAACCCATGCAAGGACCAACGTGAATTGTAGGCGCAAAACGAGAACGTACAATGAGGCCATGTGGCATAGACATTCGCTCGCCGCCTTTTCGCAGTGTAAAACCTTCTTTTTACTGTTCTAGCGAAGAACTGACATGCTGGTGTTTTTTGAAAATGGCAACAGGATTTCAATGAACCATGGAAATACGATGAAATGCGGATGCCCCAACATCAAACCGTTGGTGTATATGTGTGTGTGCAAGAATTACACAGCGCGCCCACATTTGCTGGATGTTTTGCATGCATTTTTCCCCACCTGCCAGGTGAGGGTTGTTAGATTTTATGTCAGTTGCCTGCTCCTCTCCTCCTCTCCTCTCCTCCTCTCCTCTCCTCCTCCTCCTGCTCAACCGCGACCCTCGACGCACAGTGTTCTCTGTCGGACCTCAACCACGACCATCCACGCCCAGTGTTCCCTGCCGGACCTCAACCACGACCATCCCCGCCCAGTGTTCCCTGCCGGACTTCAACCACGACCATCCACGCCCAGTGTTCCCTGCCGGACCTCAACCGCGAGTATCCACGCCAAGTGTTCCCTGCCGGACCTCATGTAGGAAGATATGGGACAAAGAATGCCAGATAGAATGCCAGATAGAATGCCAGAAGATATACCAGATAGAATGCCAGATAGAATGCCACAAGATATGCCAGATAGAATGCCAGAAGATTTGCCAGATAAAATGCCAGAAGATATGCCAAAAGATATGCCAGAACATATGCCAGAAGATATGCCAGATAGAATGCCAGATAGAATGCCAGAAGATATGTCAGATAGAATGCCAGAAGATATGCCAGAAGATATGTCAGATAGAATGCCAGAAGATATGCCAGATAGAATGCCAGAAGATTTGCCAGATAGAATGCCAGATAGAATGCCAGAGATATGTCAGAATATATGCCAGAACATATGCCAGAAGATATGCCAGATAGAATGCCAGATAGAATGCCAGAAGATATGTCAGATAGAATGCCAGAAGATTTGCCAGTAAGAAAATGTATAAATGTCATGGTGGGGATCACACGAAGTAAAGTAATTTCCGTAACAATTTTCTAAAATGGAATTGGAATCGCATAGGTTTTGTGTCCCGAAAATGATTATATAGATGAACAAAATAGTTTTGATAGTTTTGAAACGTTCCCTGAGGAACGGTGGAACGGAACCCATGAGCATGTGGAACATAATGAAACAATCCTTACAATTTGCTGTGAAATGTTCGAGAAAGGCAATTTGGTACAGTATTTCCAGGCCGTCGTTTTTCACCCAGTGCGCTTTCAACCATAAGTTGGGTCAAATTTGCTGTTTTTCCCCAAAATTGTGTACTCATTGTCTTGCAAATACAGCGTTCCTTCTGAAGTGCAGTACATGGTGTTTTGGGCAGGTCATAACAAATCCCAAAAATCAACATTTCAAAATAAGATTATGTTTCGGGCTGGATTTGTTGGGGCTCAAAATTAAAAGAACATTACAGGTTTGTGCGCCATGTGAAGAGGAAAAAAAAAGTCAACCATTTACACCCAACAAGGATATATGTACAAGCCAACTCTTGAGGATTTGCCAAGCTTAGTGTTTCAGAGCACGATGCACACTTCGCTCCTGGTTATCCAAGAGTGCAAGGGTCAATTCCACTCGTTTTTTCGGCTCAATCCTTGTCAGGGTGTTATTATTATTATTATTGTTTAGGGCTGTGCAGGTCACCTTGCATTTTTGGCCAGTTTCTTTTCCGACCTTTTTAGAAGGTTAGCGCCTCTCAGCTGCAGGGTTTGACTGTGCAGCGATTCCAGGTGCAGAACATGGGAAGGGTGGAAATAGCCAATGATTTCACTCCGACCAAACAAATGTTGGTTCCCCATTTTTTGTCATTCTTGCATCTTCAAATTTTCCCCGCCCAGGAATCAAGGATGAGATCCAAAATTCCCCAGTTCCAAAACAACACCAACACATCCTGTTTGGTTCAACTCATTGATTTTCTATTGTTCCACTGCTATGTTTGATGATCGGAGGCTATTTCCATTTGGATTATTCTGTTCGGACTCTATGATATTTCATCGCTGCTTAGGATGGCATCTACTTCTCGAAGCACCATGATTGCTGCTACAGGCCATGGAGATGGATCGGGATCCAATTTCTATCACAGCGTGCGCTAGCCAGCGCCATTTGAACCATGACTTCCTTTCGTAGATCAACCGTTTTGTTTGTGCTGACACACTTGAGGAACTTCTCAGTGCTTGACTTTTGGTTTGCGCCTTTTTGGTTTGGGCCTTTGTTTGTTGGAAAACCGCAGTCAGCCAGTGATACTGCTTTGGATAACTTTGGGTTGGATATGTTGGATTTATTGCAGTCGTGAGATGTTACCCACTGATCCCCCAAGCCCTGCAGTGGAAAACGACCGTGCACCTATGACGAATGATCATCCGTACTTAATTTTCTTCGGTTCTTTCATAGTTTACACCTGATGATT